GCTCACACCTGTAATCCCAGCACTTTGGGAGGCCAAGGCAGGCAGATTGCCAGAGCTCAGGAGTTCGAGACCATCCTGGGCAACATGGCAAAACCCTGTCTCTACTAAAACAGAAAAAATTAGCCGGGCATGATGGTTCGTGCCTAAAGTCCTGGCTACTTGGGAGGCTGAGGCAGGAGAATCCCCTGAACCTGGAAGAGGGAGTTTGCAGTGGGCCGAGATCATGCCACTGCACTCCAACCTGGGTAACAGAGCGAGACTCCATCTCAAATCAAACAAACAAAAACCATATGCTTTTTAAAATATGTGAAAATTAGAAAAGAAAATCTTTTTTTTTTTTTTTGAGACGGAGTTTCGCTCTTGTTACCCAGGCTGGAGTTCAATGGCGCGATCTCGGCTCACCGCAACCTCCGCCTCCTGGGTTCAGGCAATTCTCCTGCCTCAGCCTCCTGAGTAGCTGGGATTACAGGCACGAGCCACCATGCCCAGCTGATTTTTTGTATTTTTAGTAGAGACGGGGTTTCACCATGTTGACCAGGATGGTCTCGATCTCTTGACCTCGTGATCCACCCGCCTCCGCCTCCCAAAGTGCTGGGATTATAGGCTTGAGCCACCGCGCCCAGCTAGAAAAGAAAATCTTAACCTTCCCAAAGACAATGACAATGGCTTAACCCAAAGACAATGCCAACATTTTGGTGTACTTTTTTCTGGAATGTTTTATCTGTGTATTTCTTCTATTGATGTAATCATAAGGGACCTGTTCACTTGTCTCTTGCTATTTCATTTAATGTATTTTTAGAGCTTTGACACCTGTACCTAATATCATGTTTAATGAGCACGTATTATTCCATCATATTGACATGCTATAATTAACTCCTCTTCCCTTATTACACATTTAGGTTGTTTCCAATTCGATATTATAAATATGCAAAAAAATGTCATTGTGTATGAAACATTTCTTTATATAGAATTATTTTCTTAGGATAGATTTCCACATTAGCAGAATTACTAGATCAGAATGAATGAAGTTTCGATATGTGTTGCCAACCCACTTTTCCAAAGATGATTTGAATTTTCACTGCTGATTTATGAGAGCACCTCAACCTCTTCTCTCTCTCCGGAATTTTAAAAAAGAAAAACCTTTGCCAGTGTGGGAGGTGGCACATGGCGTTCCATCCTTGTTTTAGTTATAATTCTCTGGGTAGTAGTGAGTGTGGGCATGGCTCCATGTGAGTGAATGAGAACCTCAGTCTCTTTACCATTGAGGCTTGGTGTTTTTCTTGATGATTTTTTAAGTATTAATAAAAAAAGGTTGGTTCTTTGGCTGCCATGTCCCCTAATTTGCTGTAGTTCTTTCAATTTGGCTACAGTGGTTCCTTTTTTTTTTTTTTTTTTTTGAGATGGAGTCTCACTCTGTCATCACCCAGGCTGGAGTACAGTGGCACAATCTTGGCTCACTGCAACCTCCACCTCCCAGGTTTAAGTGATTCTCCTGCCTCAGCCTCCTGAGTAGTTGGGACTACAGGCGTCACCATCATGCCCAACTACTTTTTTGAATTTTTAGTAGAAAGGTGGTTTCACCATATTTGCCAGGCTGGTCTCGAACTCCTAACCTCAGGTGATCTGCCTACCTCAGCCTCCCAAAGTACTGGGATTACAAGCATAAGCCACTGTGTCCGGCCTTCTTTTTCGTTTTTAGAGACAGTCTCGCTCTGTCACCCAGGCTGGAGTGCAGTGATGCAATCTCAGCTCTCTGCAGCCTCCGCCTCCTGGGTTCAAGCAATTCTTGTGCCTCAGCCTCCCAAATAGCTGGGAACACAGGTATGTGCCACCACAACTGGCTAATTTTTATAATTTTAGTAGAATCGGGGTTTCACTTTGTTGACCAGGCAGGTCTCGAACTTCTGACCTCATGTGATCCACCCGCCTTTGCCCCCCAAAGTGCTGGGTTTACAGGCATGAGCCACTGCGCCCAGCCTGTGCTAGACTTTTACATGACCAGCAGTGCAATAAGTTCGCTTACACCAGGCCGGGCGCGGTGGCTCAAGCGTGTAATCCCAGCACTTTGGGAGGCCGAGGCGGGTGGATCACGAGGTTGATAGATCGAGACCATCCTGGTCAACATGGTGAAACCCCGTCTCTACTAAAAATACAAAAAATTAGCTGGGCATGGTGGCACGTGCCTGTAATCCCAGCTACTCAGGAGGCTGAGGCAGGAGAATTGCCTGAACCCGGGAGGCGGAGGTTGCGGTGAGCCGAGATCGTGCCATTGCACTCCAGCCTGGGTAACAAGAGCGAAACTCCGTCTCAAAAAAAAAAATAAAAAATAAAAAAAGTTCGCTTACACCAGCATCACTACAAACACCAGGCAATAGAAATTTTTCAGCTGTGTTATAATTTTATGGAACCAGAGACCACCATTGTATATGCAGTCTGTTGCTGACCAAAACTTGTTCTGCAGTGCAGGACAGTATTTACTATCTGAATCTTGATAGGAACGCTTTGCCCACCCCAGGCATGAGACTGGATTATGCTTGTAGGATTTTCATGCCCCTGGGAATGTGAGTGATGATTATATGTGCAACTTGAAGGAATATTTTAATAGTTCTGTGTTTATTTTGTTGGATATAAGAAGAAAATTCATGATCCCACAGCTATTATTGCTTAGGACAAGGCTTAGTGCAAAAGTGAGCAAGTTCAAGAAGTCTTAAGTGGGCTGGGCATGGTGGCTTATGCCTGTAATCCTAGCACTTTCGGAGGCCAAGGCAGATGGGTCATCTGAGGTCAGGAATTCGAGATCAGCCCAGCCAGCATGGTGAAACCCCATCTCTATTAAAAATAGAATTAGCCAGGCGTGGTGGCTGGTGCCTGTAATCCCAGCTATTTGGGAGGCTGAGGCAGAGGTTGCAGTGAGCCAAGATGGAGCCACTGCACTCCAGCCTGGGCAACAAGAGTCAGACTCCATCTCAAAAAAAAAAAAAAAAAAAAAGTCTTAAGTGGTGTAGGATGATAACATCTAACAAAAGTGAAGAGGGAGCAGGGCTGGGGAATGGCTGTGGCCTGGGACCCCTGGGTTGCGGTTAGTCCTTGGTGCTGGAGAGTGGCGGACAGGCCACAGAGACCCCAGTGCCTTCTGATCGTGCCCCCTCTCCCAACCCAGGCTTTGAGATGCACCATCACGGGCCTGACCTTAGGGGACTCCAGCTGTCAGGCCAAGGACAGCGGTGACCAGTTTGTCCTGCGCAGTGCTTACTCCAGCTGTGGCATGGTAGTGACAGCAAATATGATCAGCAATGAGGTAAGAGCTGGGGCCAGAAAGGTATCAAGACCAGGCTGGTTGGTGCCCGCCTCAGGTGCCTCCTTGATTGCCCAGGCTGAGGGGTGTTTGGGAGAGCAGGGTGCAGGGGCTCAGCACGCAAGACAAGTTGGGCCATTGGTTGGCTCAGTCTCCCCATCCACAAAATGGGCATGTCGGGTGGGATGCCCTCTGGGGTCCCTTCTGGCTCTGACCAGCTCCTTGGCTCTGTCCTCACAGGTGGTGGTCAATATCCTGTCGAGCTCATCACCACAGCGGGTGAGATGGATGGTCACATGCTAATCCGCCTGGGGCTGCTGCTGGGCAGGGGGCCTTTTCCTGGCTTGGGAGGGAGCAGGCCTTGGGATACTCCTGGCCCAAGCCATGTCTCCGGCATGCCTGGGTCTTCCCTTCTATATGAGGGGAGCAGGACTGTGGAGGGTGACGCTCTCAGCTTCTCAAGTCAGAGGGCTTAGCACATATTGGCTGTGTGGCCTTGGGCAAGTCACTTTAGTTCTGTGGGCCCAAAGGTGGCCTAACAAAGGACTCTGCGCCACAGGGTGCTTCTGGGCAGCCAGTGGGATGCCATGTGGAAGCTCTTCAAACAGCCTGGCACCCGATGCCTCCTTGATAAATATTAGATTTTAAAAAAATGTTTTTGAGGTGGAGTCTTGCTCTGTCGCCAGGCTGGAGTGCAGTGGCATGATCTTGGCTCACTGTAATCTCCGCCTCCCCGGTTCAACTGATTCTCCTGAGTAGCTGGGACTACAGGCACGCGCCACCAAGTCCAGCTAATTTTCGTATTTTTAGTAGAGATGGGGTTTCACTATGTTGGCCAGGATGGTCTCGATCTCTTGACCTTGTGATCTGCCCACCTCGGCCTCCAAAAGTGCTGGGATTATAGGTGTGAGCCAGCATGCCCAGCTAAATATTAGTTTTGTTTTGTTTAAAAAAAAATATGAGGAGAGAGTCAGGCAACTCCACGGGGCCATGACCTCCATTCCTCCTGACACCCCTCGCCCTCCTGGCTGGTGTTGCTGGACTGATGGAATCTCCCTCCTGTCGTCCCCCAGAAAAAGGTGTACTGCCTCGACATGGACAGCCTCTCTTTCCAGTTGGGCCTCTACCTCAGCTCACGCTTCCTCCAGGCCTCCAGCACCATCGAGCTGGGGCAGCAGGGCTTTGTGCAGGTACCTGGCAAGCCTGTGACCCCTCAGGCCTCCCAGCTCTGGTACTTCCTCTCTGCCTTTCTTCCCCCATGATTCCAGAGGAGATGAGAAGCCCATAGTCAGGAGGGAGACATCCTGGGTGCATGGGAAAGGGAGAGACAGGGAAGGTATTGCTAAGGGACACTAGCAAGGACGTCGTCCTGTCCTCCTCTGTCCAGGAAGGCCCATGCCTTTCCTTCCGCTGTGAGGACTCGAGTGGGAACTCTTCCTTCTAGCCGAGATTTCAAGGCAGCAGGTGGGGTGGCGTTAAGAGCAACTGCCCATAGCACATGGCCCTACCTATCCGTGCAGGTGAAAATGTCCCCACCGATCCCTGAGCTCCTACTCGAGCTAGACAGCTGCCACCTGGACTTGGGGCCTGAGGGAGGAACCATGGAACTCATCCAGGGCCGGGTGGCCAAGAGCAGCTGTGTAAACCTGCTGTCCCCAAGCCCTGAGGGTGACCCACGCTTCAGCTTCCTCTTCCACGTCTACACAGCACCCATACCCAAAGCCGGCACCCTCCGCTGCACTGTAGCCCTGCGTCCCAAGACTGGGTCCCAGGTGAGTGGGGCCTGGGCTGGGCCCAGCTTCAAGTGGGAGCTGCCAGGACTGTGGTTTGCAGGCAGGGACATGGCAGCCCATGGGGATGTGGGGCCAGCTGGTGAGGGGCAGAGCCTTAGTCAGGCACGTGGCCTGGCAGTCTGGCTGCCAGTGGCACTTTCTGCCACCTTAGAGCTTTCTGGTGGGATTGCTGTGCAGCTGCAACCGTCCATCTATCCTTCCACTTATTCTTCCATCTGTCCATCCATCCACCCTCCCAACCACCTGCCATCCTATCCATGGATCCACGCATCTTGCCACCATCCCACCCGGGCATCCACACATCTTGCCACCATCCCACCATCCCACCTAGGAATTCAGCCACCCTCACATCCATGTGCTATGATCACCAGCATCATTTCAGAGAACAGGAGACCTTAGGGAAGAGAAGCGGGACAAAGGACACACACTCCTGGCTTTCTGTATTTGCCAGTCACAACACTTCACCATCTGTTGTGCCCCACTCTCAGGCAGTCTGTCCTGGGTGCCCCCCGAGTCACCCCCAGGCCCTTGCACAGACAGGCCTCCAGGATTACAAACTTACCTGGTCACAGGAAGCTAGGGAGGCCTTCAAGCCTCCAAGTGGGCCTCTCCCTCCAGCCACAGTGAGGGAGAGGCTCCTCCCTGGGCTGACCTGGCTCGTAGCTCCAAAGCATTCACAAGGGTGAGGGATTCGTAGTGCTCCCGTAGGGCCTCCAGGGACGCACAGGAAACATTCTGGCAGCAGCCAAGGATCATCCGCTAGGCCCCCTCTCACAGCACAGATCTTCCAGGACTCGCCCCAAGGCATCCAGCTAGGAAGCGGTGGAGATGGGATTCAAAGCTGAGGCTCTAGGGTGGGCGGGGGGCGCAGAGCCAGGGAGTAAGCTGGAAGCTGCCTCCCGAAGGCTGTGCCCCATGCCGCTCTCTCCCGACTCCAGGAATTCCGCAGCACTGTCTTCACGCGCTTAAACATCAGCCCTGACTTGTCTGGTGAGCTTCCTCCGGGTATCTCAAGTTTGTCCTAGCGGCTGAGGTCAAAGTAAGGCACAGCGGGCAGCCCCGAGAAACGGCCTGGGCACATAGCACATGGCAGGGGGGACCCCAGAGAAAGCGGCCCAGGAGGGGAAGGAGGAGGGCTTCCCAGCACCCTAGCAGCCTAGAGCAGGGGCCAGAGCTGCACTTCACAGCTGGAGAGCCCTTGCCCAGGACCGCCCTGTGGGGTGGGAGTCTAGGCTTCTGCCCCCACTCACGGCTCCACTCCATCCCCACGGTTACTGGCTGACCTTGCTGGGAGATTGCAGCCTCCTGGGTGGGACAGAGGCCCTCTGGGGTGGGGGTGCCGGCCTTGCCTTCCTTGAGGCCCCTCCCTGCGGGACGCCCGCTCTAGCTTCCCCATCAGTTCCCCGCAGGCCCAGGCCCACACCAGGGAGAAGAGTCCCTGACACCGGTGGCAAAGGCAGGGGTGAGGGATGGGGGCATCTACCCGTTTGCCACCCCATCCAGGCCAGGATGGAGCCTCCAGTCCCAGCCCAGGACCAAGAAGGCAGGGCTAATAACCCCATGACACAGATGGGACCTCGGAGGCTGAAGGGAAGGCCACCTGGCCTGCAGTCACACGGGAGTCAGGAACGTGGCGGGAATGAGGTCTGGAACAGTCCAACAGCAGAGCCGTAGGGCGCTGGGAGCCACTCTAGCCCTCGCTCTGCCTAAAGACCTCAGAGAGGAGCAGGGCTGGCTTAAGGTCACACAGCAGATGAGGAAGGCTCTGCGCTCCTGAGCCTCCGTTTCTTCACATTACCGCATCCATTCGCCCCAAAAACGTATCTCTGTCGGCCTTAAGGGGCAGAGGCACGACCCACAAGGCCTGGCTGGACCCTCTAGGTGGACGGTCATAGCAACCGTGGCTCAATGCCAGGCCTGGCTGTGATGAGCCCATTTGCCACAAAAGGAGACTGAGGTTCAGAGAAGTTGAGGGTCCATGGCTGAGCAGGGCTGGCACCAAAGCCCACACGGGCCAGTATAACAGGGTAGGGGATGGGGCGGGGGCAGAGGCAGCAGTGCTGATGGCGCGGCCCTCTCTAGGTTGCACAAGCAAAGGCCTCCTCCTGCCCGCTGTGCTGGGCATCACCTTTGGTGCCTTCCTCATCGGGGCCCTGCTCACCGCCGCGCTCTGGTACATCTACTCGCACACGCGTGAGTACCCCAGGCCCCCGCAGTGAGCATGCCGGACCCATCCACCCACCCGGGGGAGCCCAGTGAAACCTCTGAGAGATTGGGGAGCCCTGGCCAGGACCCTGACCTCCGCCCCTGCCCCTGCTCCCAGGTCCCCCCCGCAAGCGGGAGCCCGTGGTGGCGGTGGCTGCCCCGGCCTCCTCAGAGAGCAGCAGCACCAACCACAGCATCGGGAGCACCCAGAGCACCCCCTGCTCCACCAGCAGCATGGCATAGCCCCGGGTCCCCCGCACTCGCCCAGCAGGAGACTGAGCAGCCGCCAGCCAGGAGCGCAGGCATGAACTCACCCTGGGAGCCAGTCTTCCACTGGACCCAGGATGGAGCCTGCTCTCTGCGCCTGCCCTTCCTGCCTCCCTCTCAGAGGCCTGCTGCCAGCAGGGCCACTGGCTTGGAACATCTTGGGGTCTCTCCACCCCACTCCACAGAACCTTTAACCCAGCCTGGGATACGGCTGCCCAGGACCATGGAGACCACTTGCCACACAGTTGTAAAAACCCAAGTCCCTGTCCTTTGAACCTGGATCCGGCACTGGTGAACCGAGCTGGGCAGGAGGGGAGAACTCGAAACAGATCCAGACCAGCCCAGCCAGGCCGACAGCGCCTCTCTGCTGGGAACAGAAGCGGGTCCAGCCCAGAGCCACCTGGATCTATCTCTGTAGCCTCCACACCTGGACTTGCCTAACTGGCAGGGGAGACAGGAGCCCAGCGGAGCCCAGAGGGTGGCAAGAACAGTGGGCACTGGGAGCCTAGCTCCTCTGCTACACAGAGCCCCCCCTCTGCCGAGCAGGCAGCCAGCAGAGGGGGAGAATCCACGCTGCTTGTCCTGGGCCCGCCCCTATGTATTCACCATCAATAAATCAGACCATGAAACCAGTGCTGGGTTGAGCTGGGAGGAGGACAGTGACATTCAAAACAGGGCTGGGCTGAGGGCAGAGGACAGGGTTGCTCTTGTCCTTGGCCCCACTGGGCTTGGCCTGGTGGCAGGGGTGGCATCCTGAACAGTATCAGCAGCCAAGGCACAGCAGGTTTTGATTCAGTCAGTTGCCCTCGGCCTATCACCCCTCGGCAGCACACCACAGGACTAAGGCTTCAAGAAAGCAAACCCCAGGAAGCCCCAGCCACACTCAGTCTGGGGTTCTGAACATAGGCCCTTGACTGCTGTGAGTTCAAATCCTGAGCCTGCCACTTGTTGGCTTGTGACAGTAGGCACATGCTTCCTGAGGCCAGTCACAGATTCCTCGCCTGTCAAGTGGATATAATTCACATCATAAGATGGGTCTGCAGAAAGCACTGCCTGGCAGTCAACAGGCATCAGTCCAGTCTTCTGCTGTCACAGACGGGCCGCCTGAGGTGCACAGGGAGGGAGGGACTTGTTCCCGGCCACCCAGCCACGCTCCCTCTACACAGCGCAGGTCCCTACCTACCTGTAGCCCCTCCCTCCCTGCCTCTGCTGAGGGAGAAGGGGGTCAAGGGTCAGTCGAAGGCTTTGCCATTTTTAAAAAAAACAAAGGCTTTAATTCACTCCAGCCACTCTCTGTCCCAGGCTGTCCCAGGCAGAGGCCCTCTCCCTTCCCAGAAGGCACTGGGAGGAGGAAATCTACCACCCAGCACCCAGCAGGACCCGGGGCCTGGCCAGCAGCACACACAATAAGCTGGGCCTGAGCCAGAAGGGTGTGGGGGAAGACAGGCTGAGTGGCCAGGCCACTAGAACAGTGAGAGAGCTGGGGAGCCCCCAACTCAGCCATCCGCCATCTCAGCCGGGAGGAAGGGGAAGGAGGAGAGGCCAAGGCACAGAGCTTCAACACGGAGGACGTCCTCTCCTGGCCTCCCATCCCAGAACCCTGGTCCCTAGGCCAGTCTAGACAGAACCAGGAAAGCAGTTAACAAAAGGCACCTAGTATGTGAGTTCATGGGGAGAATGCAGGCAGCTCTGGGGGGGGCTCCCGCCTCCAACCCTGGGCCTTGACTACTGGGACAGTGCAGGCTCTAGCAGCTTCAGGACACCACCCACCAGGTGCAGGCTGCCAGTGACCAGCACGTGGACGGCAGCAGCCTCATGGAGTACACTAGCCCCACTGCGTGCCACAGGGTGGGTGAGGAGGCTCTTTGGGGAACTGGGTGTCTGGAAGACGGGGTCTCGACCTTGGCTGATCCATTGCAAGGCATGTGAAATGCAGCTGAAGACAAGGGAGCTGGCGCTGCTGTGGGGTGGGTGGGGCGCCAGCAGCAGGGGTGCAGGCCCAGCAAGCTCCGGGCTGGGGGCGCTCCAGAGGGCCGTGCTGGCCTGCTCCTCGTCCAGGCAGTTCCAGTGCTGCTGGTGTTCCAGGCAGCGGAGCAACACCTGGTCCAGTGTCACTGTGAAGTTCTGTTGGTCTGTGGGGCAGAGACAGGCATGTCACTGAAGAGGAGTAGTAGGGGACAGGGCTGGAGAAGGGGCGGGTGCACCATAAGCATCTGCTTAGTGCCCGGCCCTTTACATGTGTCAGGCCAGCGGTCTGCTAGGGGTCTTCTCTGTGGACACAATGAAGAAACAGAGGCTCAGAAAGGTTCAGTGATTTGCCCAAGGTCACGAGGCGGAGCTTTTGCCCACTAGGCACGATTTCCCCACCCTGGTCTCACTGTCTCCATCTATAAAATGGACATCCAACTGGACCCCATCACCAAGTGGGCACAGGTATTTCTGGGGATGCTAGTTAAAAATGCAGATTCCTACCCCAGAACCTAAAGTACAATTTTAAAAAATTACATATATGGGAAAAAAAAAATGCAGATTCCAGAAGTCTCCCCAGCTAGACTGATGTGGGGACTGGAGATCTTTTTTTTTTTTTTAAGACAGGGTCCAGGGTCTTGCTCTGTCACCCAGGCTGCCGTGCAGTGGAGCAATCACCACTGCAGCCTTCACCTTCCAGGATCAAGTGGTCCTTCCACTTTAGCCTCCTGAGTAGCTAGGACCACAGGTACGCACAACCACACCTGGCTAATTCTATTTTTTGTAGAGATGAGGTCTGGCTTTTAACTCCTGGGCTCAAATAATCCTCCTGCCAAAGTGCTGGGATTACAGGTATGAGGCACCATGGCCAGCCTGGGATCTGCATTTTTTGCACGATTTCAAACTTTTTTAACACGATACATAGTAAAAAGCACATTTTACACTGCAACTCAGTACTCACTCACTTATACATATGCCTGGAACAGAACAATCTTCACCAAACAGGACCTACCCTTACTTCATGCAATGCACACTGGTATTTTCTATTCTACTCTATTTCATATAAAATAAAAAATGCTGGCTGGGCACAGTGGCTCACATCTGTAATCCCAGCACTTTGGGAGGCTGAGGCAGGAGGATCACCTGAGCCACAGGAGTTTCACACCAGCCTGGCCAACATGGCAAAACCCCGTCTCTACTTAAAAATATAAAATTTAGCTGAGTATGTTGGCACATGCCTGTAATCCCAGCTATTTGGGAGGCTGAGACATGAGAATCATTTGAACCCAGGAGGCAGGGGTTGCAGTGAGCCAAGATCATGCCATTACACTTCAGCCTAGGTGACAGAGTAAGACTCTGTCTCAAAAATTAAGTAGCCAGGCGCGGTGGCTCACACCTGTAACCCCAGTACTTTGGGAGGCCAAGGTAGGCAGATCACGAGATCGAGAATATCCTGGCCAACATGGTGAAACCCTGTCTCTAATAAAAATACAAAAAAAATTAGCCAGGCGTGGTGCTGTGTGCCTGTAGTCCCAGCTGCTCGGGAGGCTGAGGCAGGAGGAATTGCTTGAACCCAGAAAATGGAAGTTGCAGTGAGCTGGGATCGCACTACTGCACTCCAGCCTGGCGATAAAGCGAGACTGTCTCAAAAAAAAAATTAAACCAAGAATACTTTGGTGTATAAGTGTATAAGTACACTAAAGCATGCTTATACAATCAAACGAATTCATCTCCTACCCCAAAACTCCAGTTTGGAAGCTACCTCAGGGCCCCCAACCCCTCCCCAGGGCCCATGCCTATCACCTCTCACCTGCGTTGCCTGTGGATGACACCTCTGTCAGGTTAGGGCAGAAGACAGCATAGTCGAACTGGCAGGGCTAGAAGGCCGAGAGGAAGACTTGGTGTCAGACCCCTGGAAGGATGTCTCCCGACTTCCACATGGCCCCTGAGCCCACATCTCTGGAGATGCAGCCTCCCTCACAACTAGAATCATTTTGTATAAACCCAACCAAGGTACTTCAGTGCCCTGCCTCCATCTGCCTCAGCATACCCAGCCTGGCCTGTGGGCTGGGCAGTGAAGCCCCAGCCTACTATACAGATGGAGGAACAGAGGCCACAGGTCAAGGGGACTTGCTTAAGGTCACTCAGATAGTGAGGGGGCCCGAAATCCAGGCTGGGAAAAGGCTGTGAGTACATAGGAGAGGTTCTGGATACAGCCTCAGCCTCCTGGTCTGTGAGATGGGAGATGATACCTAGGGGCCACTTCAGCCCTGATAGCTTGGGGCAGCCTCAGTTTCCCCAAGCAGAGAAAGGCCCAGTGACTCCTTCAACCAAACTTGAGAAGCAGGTCCTCTTAGCGGCCACCTCATTTTACGGAAAGGCAAACCGAGGCTCAGGGAAATGCCACCTCTCATCCAGGGTGATATGCTAGTGCCTAAAGGGGCAATGATAAGTGAGCCCAGAGCCTGCACCTTTAGCACGAGGTGGCCCTCCTCTTAAGCCTGGACTTGAGTCTGGACACACGGGAGAATGAGTAATGGCCTGGGACTGGACTCCCCGTGGCCCTGCAGAGCCTGGCAGAAGCAGCACATGTACCTTGTCACATCTAATCCTCAATACAACTGAAAAGAAAGGAGTTGACACCCTCCAGGGTCACAACGCCAGACCCAGGGCTTCAGGACTGCCTGCCGCCCAACCCCCAAGTCGGCTCCTTACCTGCAGCAGCTTCAGTAGGACCGCCGAGTCCCGGTCCCCAGTGGTGTTGAAGAGCAAGACTCGAACCTCGGTCCCACTGAGCCAGAGGTGAGGAGCTGGGTCAGGGAACACCCCCCCCACTGCCCCGCCCCGGTCCTCCCACCGGCCCACCCCATCCCCGCCCACAACCCCGCCCCTCCACGTGGGCTCACCCCTCCCCTCCCCATGGGCCGGCCCAGGCCCCGCCTCCGGCCCCACCCCTCACCCGCTCAGCCTCTCGCGGCTCTGCAGCGCCTGGCGGAACCAGCGGACGCAGGCCTGCACGCTGCTGGGGGTGTGTGCGCCGTCCAGGTACCAGGTGAGGGGCCCGCGCCGCAGCACCTGCGTCCGGCCCAGCCACTCCGTGTTTCGAAGCCCTGAGGGAGGGCAGCAAGGCAGTCCTTCAGGCCCTCTCCCACCCCAGTCCTCAACTCCGCACACACTCTGCGCCCGCCCTCTGAGGACCCCGGCACCCCGGGAGCTTCTTATTAGCACCAGTCACACTGGCTTGGGCTTTTCGGCTGCCTCATCTGGTGGAATCTTCCAGGCAACCCTGAGAGGGACTGCTATCATGTATGATTCCCGTTTGACAGCCCGAGAGCCCTTAGCTGGAGCCAGGACGTGATCTGAGGTCTGCCTGTCTCCAGGACCTTGTCACTTGCCCCTGGCACCAGGCACGGCACACAGTGGGTCCACCATTTGCTGTAGGGTTTAACAGCATGAGCACCTGCTGGGTGCTGAAAGCTTTGGGGGAGATGACTGGATCACCGTCCTCCATCCAGGACCTCAGGGTCTGATGATGATGACAGTGACAGTGACAGCAGCTACCACTGGCTAGCACTTTATCCCACATTGGCCAGGCTCTGGACTTAGCACATTAGTGATGTCACCTCAACAAATCCCCACCACAGCCCTTGGCAATGGCTCCCATCATCATCCCATTTGGCAGATGAGAAGACAGGCTCAGAAAGAGATCATGATGAACTCAAGGCCTGGGGGGTTTGCTGACTTCAGAGTCCTTTCTCTTAGGTACCACTTCAAACCGTCTCCATCTCCCAAACAGAAAACAAACAAAAATCTGAAAGGGCGCTGGGCAGGAAGGGCCGACTCACCAAGCCGCATGTGGGATGTGGGCTGGAACACGGGTGCCAGGGGCAGCTGCCACAGGAGGCCTGGCCTGGATGCCTTCAGCTCCCCAGCATCTGCAGGGTGTGTGTGACCGAGTGTGTCCAGGACTCTCCTAGGCAGGCTCCACAGGTCCCGCCCACCTGCCTGCCCACTCACCATGGTGGTTCTGCCTCTGCAGCCAGCAGTGGGCCAGCTGCAAGGCCAAGGCGGCATTGGACCGCTGGTGCTCCCCCTCCAGGCCCAAGGTCAGCGGCAGCCCCCCTTCCTCCAGGGCCTCCAGTGGCGGACACAGGTAGAGAGGACACTGGGGGAGACAGGCAGGAGCAGGTCAGCAGAGGCCCTCCCCTCCCCCAGCCACCCAGCCCTGCTCCCAGAACTGAGATGTGTTCCAGCTGGCCCAGCTTCCTCACTGCACAGATGAGCAAACTGAGGCCCCAAAGGACGGAGTGCCTCCTCAAACAGGAGGGACACACGTCCCCGCCACTGCCGCTGCCCCATTCCAATCAGACTCACTGAGATCTGCTGGGCTCGGTCCCTCAGCACTGCCAGGGGACCTTCAGGCTGCAGCACAGTGAAGGCAGGGACACCTTGCTGTGGAGGGAACGAGGAGAGAGAAAGGGCTGCTGGGCATCTTTCACACTCCTATCCAGCCCCACATCCCTCTGTCTGGGTTACTACTGCCTCTCATCCCTCATGTTTCTGGGGTTTTTTTTGTTATTTTGTTTTTTGAGACAGAGTCTCACTCTGTCACCAGGCTAGAGTGCAGTGGCGCGATCTCGGCTCACTGCAACGTCTGCCTCCTGGGTTCAAGCAATTCTCCTGCCTCAGTCTTCCCAGTAGCTGAAACTACAGGCACACACCACTACTTCTGGCTAATTTTTGTATTTTTAGTAGAGATGGAGTTTCACCGTGTTGGCCAGGCTGATCTCAAATTCCTGACCTCATGTGATCCTCCTGCCTCGGCCTCCCGAAGTACTGGGATTACAAGCATAAGCCACCATGCCCAGCTATCCCCCATGTTTCAATGGGGAAACAGGCTGGAGAGGAGGCTCAACTCGTTCCAGTCACACAGCGAAGCCAGTATGAGAAAGCAGACCCCACTGACGCCCAGGACCTTGTCCTGAATGGCCGTGCCCCAGCCTTGCCTCTTTGGGCTTAGTGAGGCCCAAGCTTGCCAAGCCTCTTCCTTCCCTCAGTCTGCCTGGTCACCTTAAAGATGCCCCCTTTCTGCCATGCAATCTTCTCCACCGTGTCCCCCAGGAGGCTGGTGTGGTCGATGCCAAGAGAGGAGACTCCGCACACGACAGGCTTCCTGTGGAAGAGGAAAAAGCCATGAGGGCCCTGCCCTGAGCCACCAGGTGGCAGGTGAGGCTGTCCTGGCTGCCACCCCTTGCCCCGAGCAACTACGCTCACCTGATGATGTTGGTGCAGTCATAAGCCCCACCAATGCCCACCTCCACCACTGCCAGGTCCACCTGCCAAAGATCAGAGGCCAAATGGAAGCAGGGAGCCCCCAGGCCTGCTGAGGTTCCTGTTCCCAAGACCTCAGATGCAGGGTTCTAGGGAGAGGGCACACACCTTCTCTTGGAGGAAGACGTGGAAGGCCATGAGTGTCAGGAAGCGAAAGTAGGGGGGCATGGAGACACAGCTGCCATCCTGTGGCACAGGGACATGTCAGAGCCCAGAGCCCCTGCAGCCCCTCCTCTGGGGAGACGGGGTGCTGGAACAGGTAGCACCCCCAACCCTGCCCACCCGCCAGCCCTCCTGCACGGGGCACCTTGGTCTTCTCCAGCTGGTGGTAGAGGCGCCAGAAGTACTTGGTGAAGAGGTCAGGACTGATGGGCTGCCCATTGATGCGGATCCGCTCCCGAACCTGCACCAGGTGGGGAGAGCTGCCGGGACAGCTGGGGTCGTCAGGACTCCCTTCCCGAGTGTCCTGTCTTTCCCCACCCTGCAGGAGCTGATGCCACCGGCCTCTGTGTCCCTTGGTCTGTTCCTGGTGTCCCATCCCCCCTGGACTATCTGTAGCCCCCCAGTCCTCGCCCTCTCCTATCTCCAGGCCTCTGCATCTGGCTCACCCTGCTCACCACACAGGTCTCAACTAAGACAGCCCCTCATCACCCAGGCTGGTCTCGCACATTCTATGGGCTTCAACAGTCCCATACCAATCAGTCACTCTACTGACATCTGCCCCACAATGCCATCCGTCTTATAGCTCTCAGAGACAAAGCCCGCCAGCAATGTTCAAGCTGCAGCCCTGGGCTGGCCCTCAGGGCCACATGGGCCCAAGATAAAGGTTAGGGTTTTCACCCCAAAAATGATTGTATTTTTAATTTTATTTATTTTTATTTTATTTTTGTAACCACTAGTCACTAGTAACATCTAACATTTATTTATTTATTTATTTATTTTTTTTATTTTTATTTTTTTTTGAGACGGAGTTTCGCTCTTGTTACCCAGGCTGGAGTGCAATGGCACGATCTCGGCTCACTGCAACCTCCGCCTCCTGGGTTCAGGCAATTCTCCTGCCTCAGCCTCCTGAGTAGCTGGGATTACAGGCACGCGCCACCATGCCCAGCTAATTTTTTGTATTTTTAGTAGAGACGGGGTTTCACCATGTTGACCAGGATGGTCTCGATCTCTTGACCTCGTGATCCACCCGCCTCGGCCTCCCAAAGTGCTGGGATTACAGGCTTGAGCCACCGCGCCCAGCACATTTATTTATTTTTGAGACAGGGTCTTGCTCTGTCACCCAGGCTGGACTGTAGTCATGAGATCTCAGCTCACTGCAACCCCTGCCTCCTGGGTTCAAGCAATTCTTGCGCCTTGGCCTTCCAAGTAGCTGGGATTACAGGTGTGAGCCACCATGCCTGGCTGGTTATTTTTGTATTTGTAGTAGAGACAGGGTTATACCATGCTAGGCAGGCTGGTCTTGAACTCCTGACCTCAGGTGATCTGCCCAACTCAGCCTCCCAAAGTGCTGGGATTACAGCACTGAGCCCGGCCCAAAAAATGATTTTAGAAGACAGGTTGGTGCCTTATGTTTCAATCCTCAGATGTTTCAATCCTCAGAGAGACATGTGAGGCACAGGAAGAGTGATCCCAGTTTTTGTTTTTGTTTTTTTGAGACAGAGTCTCACTCTGTCACTAGGCTGGAGTGCAGTGATGAGATCTTGGCTCACTGCAACTTCTGTTTTCCGGTTTCAAGCAATTCTGCCGCTGCCTCCCGAGTAGCTGGGACTGCAGGCACACACCACCACACCTGGCTAATTTTTTTTTTTTTTTTTTTTTTTGTATTTTTAGTAGAGATGGGGTTTCACCATATTGGCCAGGATGGTCTCAATCTCTTGACCTCATGATCTGCCCAACTTGGCTTCCCAAAGTGCTGGGATTACAGGCATGAGCCACTGTGCCCGGCCTGAGTGATCCCGGTTCTACCAGGCCATCCTCTTGTGTGAGTCTAGATAAGTGAGATCAAATGGGGTGCTGCCTCCAGAGCAAAACCACAGCAGAGAAGGGCTCCTATCTGCAACCAACCTGGGAGGCCCTAACCCAGATGGCACAAGCCGCCCTTATCGTTTAAGCCCTTGCAAGGCAGTTTTCTGCTCCTTACCCCAGAGACATAGTAACTGATAAATATCTCTATGTGACTTTAAACTTATATATAGGCTTTAAAATTTTCTTTTTCATTTAATGTTTTTTATAGAGATGAAGTCTCACGACGTTGCCCAGGCTGGTTTCAAACTCCTAAGCTCCAGTGATCCTCCCACCTCGGCTTCCCAAAGTGCTAGGATTACAGTTGTCAGCCACCACACTCAACCTGGACTTTAAGTTATTAAAGACACATCTGACTATTCCAGCTATGTAATTTTGCTTTTTGTTTAGTTTTTTGAGACAGTGATTTGCTCTGTTGCCCAGGCTGAAGTGCAATGGCGTGATCACGGCTAACTGCAGTCTTGACCTTCCCCGGCTCAGGTGATCCTCCCATGTCAGCCACCCAAAGTGCTGGGATTATAGGCATGAGCCACCACACCTGGCCTCCTGCTACATTTTTAGTTTATACATTCAAGTTGCTGCCCCTTCCCCAGTGTTTTTCATTATGAAAATTAAGGCCTGGCCGGGCGCGGTGGCTCAAGCCTGTAATCCCAGCACTTTGGGAGGCCGAGGCGGGTAGATCACGAGGTCGAGAGATCGAGACCATTCTGGTCAACATGGTGAAACCCCGTCTCTACTAAAAATACAAAAAACTAGCTGGGCGTGGTGGCGCGTGCCTGTAATCCCAGCTACTCAGGAGGCTGAGGCAGGAGAATTGCCTGAGCCCAGGAGGCGGAGGTTGCGGTGAGCCGAGATCGCGCCATTGCACTCCAGCCTGGGCAACAAGAGCGAAACTCCGTCTCAAAAAAAAAAAAAAGAAAATTAAGGCCAAGGACAGTGGCTCACACCTGTAATACCAGCACTTTGGGAGGCCAAGGTGGGCGGATCACTTGAGGTCAGGAGTTTGAGACCAGCCTGGCCCATATGGTAAAACCCCGTCTCTACTAAAATTTAAAAAATTAGCCAGGTGTGGTGGCAGGCGCCTGTAATCCCAGCTACTCGGGAGGCTGAGGCATGAGAATCGCTTGAACCCAGGAGGCAGAGGTTGCAGTGAGCCAAAATTGTGCCACTGTACTCCAGCCTGGGTGATACAGCAAGACTCAATCTTGAAAAAAATAAAAAGAAAATTAAAGGTTGCCATAAATGTGGGCCAATGTGGTAAGTGCTAACTGAATGTTTATTGAATGAATAAACATTGGGCAGAGAGACATGTAGCTGAGCTGACCTCCTGGGGGTGACTCTGGTCCTGAAGCACTGGCTGGTTCGATAGCCCCCCAGGGTCCATTGGGACAGAGACACCACATCCCTCCATAACCCAGTACCTAAAGAATCCTGTCTTCAGGCCATAGCTTCGGAGGATACATTCAGTGAAGGCACAGGTGGAGCCCTTGAAAGAAAAGGGATTGTCTGGGCAGGCTCTACCCTGCCAGCCCACTAAGTGGACCCACTACCCCTGGGTCCTGCCCCTCACCTTCCCCTTCGTCCCAGTGACGTGGATGATGTTCAGCCGATCCAGGTCCTCCACCTGGGACAGACAAATGAGGTCCCCACCTCAGCTATGGAAATCACAGATGGGGGTGGGAGGTGGTCACGGGCCCTCTCTACCTTACCTGCAGCCCGCTTCGTGCCAGATACAGTTCCATGGCTTCCAGCTGTGTCTGGGGGTCACCCCGCTGGCGCTTCGCCTGCTCCAGATAGCTGGCATTGGTCTGCAGGGTATTGAGCATGCGCACGGCATCCTGGCAACCACAGTGCCCAGGTAGCAGGTTAAGGTTCACTCAGGGTCCAAAGACACAGAAACAGCCAGCAGGCCAGTGGCTGAGCCAGGGCAACAGGGGCAGTACCAAGCCTGCCCTGCCAGCCCTGTTACCCTAGCCCATAGGTTAAGCAACAGAAAGAGAGCATGGCAACATTCCAGCTCTGGCAAAAAGGGATGGAGCCTGGGGCAGTTCAGCCCCACCCAGGGAGTGCCACACAAAGAACGTGGCATGACTAACGGGCTAGCTTTGATTCCTGTCCAAACTCCCTCGGCTTCACTCCTAGGCTTTTGCCCTCATTCCCTCCAATGGGGTCCATTGCTCTCTGCCAGGGTAGGGCCAGAACTACAGAAGGTTGGGGTATTCAAATTCTGGAATTCCCTGAGGCTTCAACCGAACCCTCAGGACTCAGGTTCCACATTCCAACCCACAGAAGAGCAACCAGATGAGGAAGAGGGGGCTCAGAGGGAGGAGAGATGTGCCAGGGGTCACTCCGCCAGGAAGGCAGGTAGGTACAGCTTCAGGAGGGCTCACAACGGAGGTGGGAGGTGGGGTGCTATTTCCTTCCCCTCAGGCCTCATATTCCGTGTCTCCTGCCCTCAAGACCTCCCGGCTGGTTGGAGGCCCCACTATCATCAAACCAGTGCCACCCCTGAGTGGCATCAGATTCTGGTCTAGGGCAACTGGCTCTTGGCATAGCGCCCACAGAAATTTTCTGTTTCCCGGGTTCTGGGGCCCTCCACTACCCCTGATTCCTGCCTGTCCCCCAATTCCAGGCAATTAGATCCCCAATCTTCTGAATTCTTGAGACCCCACACTCCACCTATACTCCTGGATCTTTCAAGCTTTAATTTCTGAGTCTCTTCTCTCCCTTCTTTCCCCACTCCCACTGCAGGTTCGGACTCCGGGATCACCGAACTCCAGAACCACCGCTGAGCCTCTGGGCTTCTGGATCCTAGCTCCAGTGCCCCTTCCCGCTCTCCAACCCCGGGCGGGGACGCTACAGTCTCCGAATTCCCAGATCAGGCGCCCGGGCCCAACTTCCTGGTCCCTGTCCCCACCCCCAGACTCCAGGATGTTCCGCCCCGCCGAGTTCCCCAGTCCGGGGCTCCCGGTACGCTCTCCGTTAGCGGAGCCCGGATGTTCTGTGGCTCAGCGCAGGCCCACGTGTTGTCGCGCTCCGACCCGCTGGCCTGCCTGATACCTGGTACTCCATGCTAGGCTCCTGTGGCACCGGCCACACGCTCAAGCCCCGCCGCGCCGCGACTTGGGTCGTTACGCCGCGCGCAGAAGCCGCTGTCAGAAGCAGAGTAGCGCGCAGGTGGCTCCGCGCCGGCGACATAGTCCCGGCGGCCCACCTGGCAGCGCGCTAGGCCCAGCCTGGAGACGCCCCGCCCCGCCCCCGGCCAATCAGCGCAGCGCTGCCTCACCCCGCTCCGCCCGCCAATCAGCACCGCCCCGCCCCGCCCCGCCCCGCCCGCCACCAATCAGCGCCGCCCCAAGCTCCCTCCCTCCTCGTCCCTTTGCACCAATAAAAAGCCACGCCCCTCATGTGCACCATCCTGGTGAAGGGCAGGCGCAGGACGCTGTTTGTGAGTGGCAGGCTCCAGGACGTCCCCTCCCTTAGTGGGCACTCACTCCTTTCGTCAGCGTCCTCCCAAGGCTCCCCACAGCGTGTCCCAAACTAGCCAGTCCCAGTTAGCAGCCCTCAGTCTCTGCTCCGAGCAGGGATAGGATGACAGAGGTGCAGACACCTGGTGGAGGCCATCGCATCCCGGCCCCAAAAAGTCCCAGGAGACGGCAGGCAGCGGGGATTTGGCCTCTGCCTTTACGAATCTGACAGCCAAAGCCCAGGCATCGACACTCCTGGGGCCCCTAACCGGCCCTGAGGAGACTGGGAAGGCTTCCTGGAAAAGCGACATCCCGGCTGAGGCCTGTGAGATGGGGTAGTCCGGGAGGTGGCAGGGTGGGGAGAGAGGTTTCCAGGCCAATGGAGGGAACCATGTGTGAAAAGCAAGACATTGGAGAGAGAATGAGGCGTCTGTGGCTTCCAGAGTGCAGGAGGCCAGATCCACCCGGTCTTGTAAGCAGATAAGGAATTTGGATGACAATAAATGGGTTTTTGTTTTGTTTAGTTTTTGTTTGAGACAAGATCTTGCTCTGTCGCCCAGGCTAGAGTGCAGTAGCACGACCTCAATCTCCTGGGTCTTCAGCCTCCCAGTTAGCTAGGACTACAGGCATGCATCAGGTAATTTTTTTTTTTGAGACGGAGTTTCGCTCTTGTTACCCAGGCTGGAGTGCAATGGCACGATCTCGGCTCACCGCAACCTCCGCCTCCTGGGTTCAGGCAATTCTCCTGCCTCAGCCTACTGAGCAGCTGGGATTGCAGGCACGTGCCACCATGCCCAGCTAATTTTTTTGGATTTTTTAGTAGAGACGGGGTTTCACCATGTTGACCAGGATGGTCTCGATCTCTTGACCTCGTGATCCACCCACCTCGGCCTCCCAAAGTGCTGGGATTACAGGCTTGAGCCACCGCGCCCGGCTGACCGGGTAATTTTTAAACTTTTTGTAGAGACAAGTTCTCACTATGGCTTCCAGGCTGGTCTTGAACTCCTGGGCTCAAGCAATCTTCCTGCCTCTACCTGCCGAAGTACTGGGATTAGAGATGTGAACTACCGACTGGCCTTGACAATAAATGGTTTTAAGGACAGATGACATGATTCCATTTACACTTTGGAAACTCCCACCAGCTAGTACTGTGTAGACAATGGATTTGAGGGCCACCTGGGAATGGTGGGGCAGTAATCCTTCCTTTCTGTGAGTGAGGAGGGTACCTATTTGTTGTCCTGGAGTTTTCAGAGCTTTTCCCCATCTATTATCTTCTTGGCCCCAACTGCTAGCATGAAAAAGTTGCATGTGAAATCCTTTTGACAGCTGAGGCCCAGAACTGGGGAGGAGGAAACTGCAAACAACTCACTAGGGAACATCACTCTGATAAAAGGCAGTCCTTCAGATGATTGATGGAGTTTTAGTACCTCCTTCCCCTCTCCTCTTCCCAGCATTGGGAGTAAATATTTATGAGAAAGTGTCTGATTTTGAAATAAGCAAGTGATGTTTTGGGAAGAGTCCATCATTGGCTGGACTTCTGCTCTTCACACACTGCTGGGGTGCCCCGCCCCTGACCCCATGGGAGATAGAGAAGTTCTTTCCTCTCTTGGTTCCTTGTTTTTTAGTCAGGGAAACTTTCTCTATGCATATGCATATATATAGTTTAATGACTGCATAAAAATAATCATGAAGCCAGGCACAGTGGCTCACGCCTGTAATCCCAGCAATTTGGGAGGCCAAGGCGGGCGGATCACGTGGTCAGGAGTTCGAGACCAGGATGGCCAATATGATGAAACCTCGTCTCTACTAAAGATACAAAAATTAGGCAGGTGTGGTGGCGGGAGCCTGTAATCTCAACTACTTGGGAGGCTAAGGCAGGAGAATCACTTGAACCCAGGAGGTGGAGGTTGCAGTGAGCTAAGATCACTCAACTGCACTCCAGCCTAGGTGACAGAGCAAGACCCGTCTTGAAAAAAAATAATAATGAAGCTTTAAGTATTTTTATTTTGCTTACTTCCCTCCCCCCTCCCCCCATACACAAACCCTTCCTCCTCTGGCAGTCCTATTGACAGCTAACTATGTGTCCCATAGTTTCTATGCTTATGAAACCAGACACATGTAGACATCTATAGGGTCTTGCCAATGCAGGTGACAACAGTTTTCGGATCTTGGCTTTTCAAAACAATTTTTTTTTTTAAGACAGAGTCTCACTCTGTCTTTCAGGCTGGAGTGCAGCGGCACAATCAGAGCTTACTGCAGCCTTAAACTTCTGCCCTCAAGCAATCCTCTCACCTGGGCCTGCTAAAGTCCTGGGATCACAGGCATGAGTTACCATGCCTGGCTGCAACTTAACTTTCTTACTCAATAACAAGCTTATTATTTTCTAAGACATTTACTTAGCAAACACTTTCTTTTTTTTTTTTTTTTTTTTTTGAGATGGGATCTCTCTGTCGCCCAGGCTGGAGTACAGTGGCACCATCTTGGCTCACTGCAACCTCTGCCTCACGGATTTAAGAGATTCTCCTGCCTCAGCCTTCGGATTAGTTGGGATTACAGGGGCCTGCCACCACGCCCAGCTAATTTTTGTATTTTTAGTAGAAACAGGGTTTCACCATGTTGGCCAGGATGGTCTCAACTTCTGATCTTTTGATCCGCCCACCTCCGCCTCCCAAAGTGCTGGGATTACAGGCGTGAGCCATCTGTGCCCTGGCCAAAAATTTTTGTTTTTAGAGACAGGGTTCCAATCTATAACTCAAACTGGAGTGCAGTGGCACAATCTGAGCTCACTGCATGCAGCCTTAAACTCTTGCCCTCAAGCAATGCTCGCACTCGGGCCTACTGGAGTGCTGGGATCACAGGCATGAGTCACCAAGCCTGGCTGCAACTGAACTTTCTTATTCAATAACAAGCTTATTATTTTCTAAGACATTTACTTAGCAAACACTTTTTTGTGTGTGTGAGATGGGGTCTCTCTCTGTTGCTCAGGCTGGAGTGCAGTGGCGCCATCTTGGCTCACTGCAACCTCCACCTCCCAAGTAGCTGGGACTACAGGTACGTGCCACCACCCTTGGCTAATTTTTGTATTTTTAGTAGAAATTGGGTTTTGCCATGTTGAGCAGGCTGGACTTGAAGTCCTGACCTCAGGTGATCCACCTACCTCTGCCTTCCAAAGTGCTGGGATTACAGGCATGAGCCACTGCGCCCGGCCAGAGTCCTTATTCCTAGCCTCTGCGCCTCCTTTCCTGTCTCCCCAGGGACACTGCTAATTCAGCATCTTTAATGGCTGTGTGGCCTTCCCAGGAGCATCCTGCATTCACCTGTGGACTCCTGACCTTGTGATCCACCTGCCTCAGCCTCCCAAAGTGCTGGAATTACAGGCGTGAGCTGCCGCACCTGGCCAGAGTCCTTATTCCTAGCCTCTGCGCCTCCTTCCCTGTCTCCCCAAGGACACTGCTAATTCAGCGTCTTTAATGGCTGTGTGGCCTTCCCGGGAGCATCCTGCATTAGCCTGTGGACTCCTGACCTTGTGATCCACCTGCCTCAGCCTCCCAAAGTGCTGGAATTACAGGCGTGAGCTGCCGCACCTGGCCAGAGTCCTTATTCCTAGCCTCTGCGCCTCCTTCCCTGTCTCCCCAAGGACACTGCTAATTCAGCGTCTTTAATGGCTGTGTGGCCTTCCCGGGAGCATCCTGCATTAGCCTGTGGAATGGCATTCATTCTGCCTTCAGTGTTTTGCTGCTACGGTTATGTGTATACATCAAAGGACTTGATTTCTGTGAGTTGGATTGCATGGAGGGGTCAGGTTGGATCCAGGGATGTTTGCAATCCTTTTCCCCAATGCTCCTGTCACCTTGGCATCCCAGCAGCTCTGTGTGATGAAGCACCCCTTTCCCAGGATGCCCCCAGACCACCGGATGTGGAGAGCCATCTCAGTGTTTCTTTCATTCCCCTGCTGCAGTGACCTTGGGCATCTTCCCATGCACTTATTTCAGTGAGCTGCCTCACCCATCTTTGGACCATTTTTCTAATGTTTGATCAGCTTTTTCATGTCAGTTATAATAGCCCTTTGTGGGCTGGGTGCAGTGGCTTACCGCTGTAATCCTAGCATGTTGGGAGACTGAAGCGGGAAGATCGCTTGAAGCCTGGAGTTCTAGATCAGTCTGGGCAACATGATGAAATTCCCATCTCTACAAAAAACAAAAATTGCTGGGCATGCTGGTGCACATCTGTAGTCCCAGCTACTAGGAAGGTGAGGCAGGAGGACCTTTTTTTTTTTGGTCTCACTCTGTTGCCCAGGCCGAAGTGCAGTGGTGCAATCTCGGCTCACTGCAGCATCTACCTCCTGGGTTCAAGCAATTCTCCTGCCTCAGCCTCTGGAGTAGCTGAGATTACAGGCACCCACCACCATGCCCAGCTAATTTTTATATTTTTAGTAGAGACAGGGTTTCACCATTTTGGGCAGGCTGGTCTTGAACTCCTGACCTCAGGTGATCCACCTGCCTCGGCCTCCCAAAGTGCTGGGATTACAGGCGTGAGCTACTGCACCTGGCCAAGGAGGATCATTTGAATCCAGGAGTTTGAGGCTGAAGTGAGCTACAATAGCGCCACTATGCTCCAGCCTGGGAGACACAGCGAGACCCTCCCCACCCCCTTTTTAAAATAAATCAATCAGGCCGGGCGTGGTGGCTCATGCCTGTAATCCTAGCACTTTGGGAGGCCAAGGTAGGTAGATCACCTGAGGTCAGGAGTTCAAAACCAGCCTGGCCATCATGGTGAAACCTCATTTAAAAAAAAAAAAAAGGAAGGAAGAAGAAGGAGAAGGAGAAGGAGAAAAAGTGGGGGAACACTTTTTCTTATGTTTTCATTTTAAATTCTGACATTTTATTTGATATCAGATCATTAAAATGGTTAAAAGATTGGCTGGGCACAGTGGCTCACACCTGTAATCACAGCACTTTGGGAGGCTGAGGTGGGTGGATCACTTGAGGTAAGGAGTTCAAGGCCAGCCTGGCCAACATGGTGAAACCCTGTGTCTCCTAAAAATACAAAAATTAGCCAAGCTTGGTGATGTGCGCCTGTAATCCCAGCTACTTGGGAGGCTGAGGCACAAGAATCACTTGAAAGCAAGATTATCTCCAAACAAAGAAACAAACAAAAACCAACAAACAGTTAACGGGTCAAAACAGTATACAGCAAAATGTCTCCCTCCCCGGGAGCCCAGATTCCAGTACCCTAATCCTCCTTCCTCAAAGCAGTCAATGTTATCAGTTTCTTATCTTTCCAGAGATAGGTTATACATTTACAAGCAAATACAAATATACATTGCTTTCCCTTTTGTACCCACAGATAGCAGCAGACTGTGAGGCAAGCCCGCCTCGTACTTTCTCTGTGCCCCTTTTTATCCAGAGCCGATTCTGGGCTGTGTCAGTATATAAGGGCCACTCCATTGGCTAACTTGTTTTGAAGCTGCATAGTACTCCATGGTGTGGAAGTATTACTGTGTATTTGGCCAGTTGCCTACTGATGGACATTTGGGTGGTTTCCAATATTTTGCTATCACAAGCAGTGGATAATATTTTACCTTCATCATTTCCTCCTTGTGTGGCACATCCCATGGATAAATTCCAAGAAATGCAATTGCTGGGTCAAAGGTGATCTGCACTTGACATTTTTTTCCAAGACGGAGTCTCATTCTGTCGCCCAGGCAGAGTCCAGTGGTACGATCTCAGCTCACTGCAACCTCTGCCTTCCAGGCTCAAGCAATTCTCCTGCCTCAGCCTCTCAAGTAGCTGAGATTACAGGTGCACGCCACCATGCCCAGCTAATTTTTGTATTTTTAGTAGAGATGGGGTTTCACTATGTTGGCCAGGCTGGTCTCAAACTCCTGACCTCAGGATCCACCCACCTTGGCCTCCCAAAATGTTGGGATTACAGGCGTGAGCCACCACACCTGGCTGACATTTTTTTTTTTTTTTTTTTGAGATGTAGTCTCACTCTGTTGCCCAGGCTGGAGGGCAGGGGCCTGATCTTGGTTCACTGCAACCTCCACATCCCAGGTTCAGGAGATTTTCCTTCCTCATCCTCCAGAGTAGCTGGGATTATAGACATGTGCCACCAGGCCTGTCTAATTTTTTTTTCTTTTTTTGAGACGTAGTCTTGCTTTGTCACCCATGCTGGAGTGCAGTGGTGCAATCTCGGCTCTGCAACTTTTGCCTCCCAAGTTCAAGCAATTCTCCTGCCTCAGCCTCCCTAGTAGCTGGGATTACATATCAAGAATGAGCTCGGTCGAGAGACCCCCACCGAGGCGGCGCCGAAGGTATTTGAGAGGCAGACACCCAGATAGCACAACAGCCTGGAATCCCCTGGGGCTGACAGCTCTCCAGGCTGAAGGCCCGGAGCAGATTCTCATCCACTCTTTTATTTGCTTAACTTAGACAGGTGATTCTTATTAATACACAGGTGGGCTATATTTACATATAACTCAAGGATATACCAAGTAGACAGCTGTTACCCGCCTACCCCTAATTACAAACTAAAAGATATCCTCCACTGAGGAGCCACGAGGGCAGGGTAAACTTAACGTTTCTCAACAACTACAGATGTCCGTCATCGAGCCCAGCTAATTTTTTATTTTTAGTAGAGATGGGGTTTTGCCATCTTGGCCAGGCTATTCTCAAACTCCTGATCTTTTGATCCACCCGCCTCAGCCTCCCAAAGTGCTGGGATTACAGGTGCGAGCCACCAGGTCCGGCCTTCTTAGCAATTTTCAGAGAAAAAAAAATGTGGAATGTTTTTTCGATTTATTCTCACCTTTCAAGCATACTGGGTGCTGAGCCCTGTGAGGGAGGGGCTCGCAGCATTACCCCCAAGAAACTGAGGCTTAGAGAGTCAAGGCCACCTGCCCGAGGTCACCCGGTTCTCCTACCTGAAAGGAGGCAGTTTTTGCTGTGGAAGAATGTCCGGATGGGCCCTCCATGGTTCCTTCCCACCAGAACTTCTCAGCCATTGGCAGGGAGGCAGCCAGGAACCTGGCACCTTTCATCCTCGGTTTCCCGCTCCCCTTCTGGGTAGGACGTGAAGTAACGCACAAGTCACCTCTGCCAAGCCAGCTCTGGCCAGGATTTAGCTGGAGCCGTGAGGCTTGCTGAATCAGAGAACGTGACTTGTGGAGACGCCAAGGCCTCCCCTCCCCTGACGGGACTGGGGGCAGCAGCTCTGGCCTCTCCGTGTGCAGGGAGAAACGTTTTACCTGATAGGTTCCTGCCTTCATGCTAGGATCACCCCAGGGATTTCTCAGCCTCTGTGGCAGGTTTCTGGAGGGGAGCGTGGGACTGGTCAGAACTTCACCGAGAGTTAAATAACAACTGGGTGCAGGTGAAAGGTAAGCACGCAGGCGCAGGCGGGCAGGCAGGTGGAAGGGGAGGGGACTAAAGCTTGGGAGGGGGCTATGCTTGCGAAGCTTCCAGACCTTGGGGCTGGCTTTATCTGGCCTCCTCCAGGTCTCCTTATCCCAGCTCACCCCCTTTACAGTTAGGGCCCATTTTGCCTTTGCCCTGCCAGGGTGAGATCCTAGCTGGGAGAGGGGTACACAAAGAACAGCATGGACATGGGACACCCTTGACTTATGGAGGAAGAGGCGTTTCACCAAATCACTTGGTCAAAAAGAAGCCAAGGGGCCGGCCGCGGTGGCTCAAGCCTGTAATCCCAGCACTTTGGGAGGCCGAGGCGGGTGGATCATGAGGTCAAGAGATCAAGACCATCCTGGTCAACATGGTGAAACCCCGTCTCTATTAAAAAATACAAAAAATTAGCTGGGCATGGTGGCGCGTGCCTATAATCCCAGCTACTCAGGAGGCTGAGGCAGGAGAATTGCCTGAACCCAGGAGGCGGAGGTTGCGGTGAGCCGAGATCGTGCCATTGCACTCCAGTCTGGGTAACAAGAGCGAAACTCTGTCTCAAAAAAAAAAAAAAAAAAAAAAAAAGCCAGGGAGCTGGGCGTGGCAGCGTGCGTCTGTAATCCCAGCTATTCTGGAGGCTGAGGCAGGAGAATTGCTTGACCCCACGAGGTGGAGGTTGCAGTGACCCAAGATCTCATCACTGCAACCCACCCTGGGAGACAGCCAGACTCTGTCTCAAAAAATAATAAATTTAATTAAATTAAAACTCTATTGAAGTGAAGGGTTAATCTGTAACATATTTAATTGATTTCCTCAGCCCTTTTTGTCTGTTTTACTAAAGTCCATATTTTGATGGTTATGCTATTTGTGGAAAGAGGTCTTGTACTGGCTGCATTATAATGACATCAGTACTACTTTGGCTGGTTTAAGTGAATATAAAACAACCATTTTAACAAAAAAAAAAAAAAAAAGAGAGAGAGAGGGAGAGAGAAAAAAAGGAAACCAGGATGTGACTCTAGGTTCTTTTTTTGAGACAGGGTTTCACTCTTGTTGCCCAGGCTCGAGTACAGTGGCATGATCTCGGCTCACTGTAACCTCTGTCTGGGTTCAAGCGATTCTCCTGCCTCGGCCTCCCGAGTAGCTGGGATTACAGGTACCCACTACTGCGCCTGGCTAATTTTTATATTTTTAGTAGAGATGGGGTTTCATCATCTTGGCCAGGCTGGTCTCCAACTCCTGACCTCGTGATCCACCCACCTCGGCCTCCCAAAGTGCTGAAATTACAGGCGTGAGCCCCCGCACCCAGCCTAACTCCAGGCGCTTTAAAAAAAAAAAAAAAAAAAAAAAAGCCAGGACACAGAACCGTCCCTGGACTGCAGGGTGACATCCTAAGCTCATACCCATGAGCTGGCAAAGGCCTTTCCTTTCCCGTCTGCACAGCCTCCTCGGCCATCTGTTCACCGTACTCACTCCTGTATCTGAGACTCACAGGTGCCAGGCACTATCTAGGTGCTGGGAACATGGTAAAAGCCCCACAAGGCCCTGCCCTCTTGGAACCTTTATTCCAGGCCACATACCTCCCTCTACAGGTGGAAACAGCATCCATGTCACACCAGAGTTTGAGGCCAAAGCTAGAGAACCCACACCTGACTGGCAAGTCCCCATTCCTCCCTGGAGTAGACTCTGGGGAAGAGGGAGGTGGGGGTGAGCTTGGGTCAGCAGCTCCAGGGTTTAGGGCCTGTCTTGGTTGTTTTAAAATGCAGCTAATTTGGGTGAGTGTAGCGGCTCACACCTGTAATCCCAGCACTTCGGGAGGCCAACATGGAAGAATCCCTTGAGTGCAGTGAAACAATCGAGGCTCACTGCAACCTCCGCCTCCTGGGTTCAAGCAATTGTCCTGTCTCAGCCTCCTGAGTAGCTGGGACTACAGGCACGTGCCACCACACCCAGCTGATTTTTTTTTTTTTTGTATTTTTAGTAGAGACGGGGTTTTACCATGTTGGTCAGGCTGGTCTCAAACTCCTAACCCCGTGATCCACCTGCCTCAGCCTTCCAAAGTGAGCCACCATGCCCGGCTATATTTTTAATTAAAAAAAAAAAAAAAAAAAAGGTAAAGATTGGCTTAATTGCATGAGCAAATGTATTAGCTATGAGGAAATACCAAGAAACATAAAGGAAAGAACCACACACTCTAGCTCCCCGAAGGCTGCCCAGCCCTTGGCACGTGTGCACATACCCACGCCCCACAAAGCCGTTTCTCTCGATTTCTGCTTCTGTAACATGCCGACTCCCTCAGCTGCCCCCTACTTTTCCCTTTTATTCCGCTTCGTTGTTTTCCATGGAACTCAATCAAACCAGTTTGGATCTACTGGAAGGTGAGCTCCGCTGAGGTGGGGGGGGGCCACCAGGGCCACCAGTTTCCACCTATATTAAGTCCCGAACAAGACGCTTGGAAGACACACCTAACAAATATGCCCAATGAACGAATGAGACCATCAAAATTGCACTGAGGGTTCAATGAGATTACTATTGTATAACTGCTGGTAAAAAAGGAATTGCTGAGTCAAAGGATACAAACCTTTCAGAGTTTTTTATCCTTCAAAGAAAATACATTTAGGCCAGCCCTGAGTTTTCCCACATTCAAATTCTGCTGACTGCCTGTCTGGACATCTCACAAGAACTTTAATTTGGATTTTTTTTTTTTTTTTTTTAAATAAAAAGTCTCTTGCTGTTGCCCAGGCTGAAATACAGTGGTACCATCTCAGCTCACTGCAACTCTGCCTCCTGGGTTCAAGCAATTCTCCCACCTCAGCCTCCTGAGTAGCTGGAATTACAGGCATTCACCACCATGCCTGGTTAATTTTTGTATTTTTAAGTCAAGATGGGGTTTCGCCATATTGGCCAGGCTGGTCTCAGACTTCTGTCTTCAGGTGATCCACCCACCTTGACCCATACTTGGATTTTTTTTTTTTTTTTTTTGAGACAGTCTCACTGTGTCACCCAGGCTGGAGTGCAGTGGCGCAATCTCAGCTCACTGCAACCTCCGCTTCCTGGGTTCAAGCGATTCTCTTGCCTTAGCCTCCCATGTAGCTGGGACTACAGGTGCCCGCCACCATACCTGGCTAATTTTTGTATTTTTAGTAGAGACGGGGTTTCACTATGTTGCCCAGGCTGGTCTTGAACTCCTGACCTCATGATCCATCTGCCTAGGCCTCACAAAGTACTGGGATTGCAGGAGTGAAGCCACTGCGCCTGGCCAATTTGGATTTCTTTAACTACTAGTTATACTGGGTTGAAATGTGTCCCCTTGAATTCATGTCCTCTCCAAACCTCAGAATGTGACCTTATTTGGAAAGAGGATCTTTCCAAATAAGGTCAGAGGTAATTAAGATGAGGTCACACTGGGTCAGGGTGGCCCCTAAATCCAGACTGGTGTCCACATAACACAGACACATAGGCTGGGCATGGTGGCTAACACCCATAATCCCAGCACTTTAGGAGGCCAAGGTGGGTGGATCACCTGAGGTCAAGAGTTTGAGACCAGCCTGGCAAAGATGGTGAAACCCCATCTCCACTAAAAATAGAGAAATTAGCTGGGCGTGGTAGCAGGTACCTATAATCTCAGTTACTCAGGAGGTTGAAGCAGGAGAATCACCTGAACCCAGGAGGCAGAGGCTGCAGTGAGCCAAGATCATGCTATTGTACTCCAGCCTGGGCAACAAGAGCAAAACTCCATCTTAAAAAAAAAAAAAAAAAGACACATGGAAGAATGCCATGTGAACACAGGCAGAGACAGGAGTGACGCATCCACAAGCCTAAGGGATGGGAGGACTGCCCGCAGCCAGGAGTCACGGAAAGGATACCTGTCTCCCTCAGAGCCTCCAGAAGGAACCAACCCTGACACCACCGACGCTGAGAACTTAAAAGAATACATGTGTTACTTTAAATTAGCATACTTCTAGCAGTTTGTTATACAAGTCTCAGGAAAACACACCAAGTCAAAAACTTTTTCCCTTGGCTGGACACAGTAGGTCATACATGTAATCCCAGCACTTTGGGGGACTGAGGTGGATCATCTGAGGTCAGGAGTTTGAGACCAGTCTGGCCAAGACAGCGAAACTGTCTCTACTAAAAATACAAAAATTAGCCAGCTGTGGTGGCGGTTGCCTGTAATCCCAGCTACTCAGGAGGCTGAGGCAGGAGAATCACTTGCAGGCGGAGAATGCAGTGAGCCAAGATTGCACTATTGCATTCCAGCCTGGGCAACAGAGTAAGATTCTGTCTCAAAAAAAGAATTTTTCTTACTTTCATTGGTCTTTTCTGTTATGGTCTGGGTCATTTTCTGTAAGTTAAAGACAGTTCTGGTCAAAGGTTTTGTCCACCTTCCTTCTTGGCCCCTATTCAAGGTCTCTACCCTGTAACAGAGTATAGGAAATTCATCTCCAGAATGCCTCTCCCCAACTTCAGGCTCACAGAAAATGTGCCCGCCAGAATGTACTGCTCCTCAAAGGGTCCCAGGGATCCTACCTTCAGTCTGTTTCTCCCACCCACTCCATCCTGGTACAAAACTACTTCCCACCTTCCCAAAACACTTGCAATCCCTCCACCCTCTGCCCACTTCCCCAGTCCCCTCTACCCAGCAGTCCGAGGGACCATCCTTCTCAGGTGACAGGTCGTATTGTCACTCTAGTGATTTTCCCTCCTGGGTCACCACCAGAGTCACAGCTCACAGCGGGCCCTTGCCAAAAATTCCCTCACCAGGGACCTGAGATGTGTTCTGAAAGGCACCCAAGAGGAAAAACAGGACAAAGGTCCTTTGCAATTGTGTACAGGAACATGAACTGAGAGACAAAGAGTCAAGACCTCCAGTGACTTGACAATCATGTCCCAATGGTCAGGCTCAACCTGCAGACCTACAGGGGAAGAGCAGGGTGGCGTGAGCACAGAAACAGAACACACAGCAACTCTTGAGGAAAAAAAAACCTCACTTTTAATTCTAACTCAACAAACTGTGTCCAAGAATGTCTCCGAACAACGGAACCAAAAGAAAAATGATAAATTCTCCTGCTGAAGAAACCAAGAGTTTATGCCAGCCCCAGCTTCTGAGAGCAAGGCCAAAAAGAGCCCACTCCTGAGGCCAGCCCTGCCCCCACACACAGTTCATAGCCCGAGAATAGGACTGGGGATGGGTGAAGGACCTGTCCCCTCTTCCATCATGCTGGAAGCTCTTAGAAACTAAGTCACTGGTGGGTGAGCCCTTCCTCCCACCCCATGGAGATCCTCTGGGCACCTTCCAGAAAGCCAGGGAGCAAGATGGGAGAGCCCTGGTGCCCTCCGGGCCTCTCAGCCAATGCTCCACTCCAGTCCACTCAACAGGCTGCTCCCAGAGCCCAGGGTGGGGATTAAATAAACTATGCATGAGAGACAGAAACTCAAATGCCCCACCGTCTCCACGATGCAAGTCACATAGCAGAATACAACCACCCTAGTGGCAAGCACCAGCCCTCAGAAGACACGCTCAAACTCCGTCTGGTTGGTGGTGGCAGGGATTGCGGCTCTGGTTGGTAGACTGCTGAGTGATCTGGCTGCCCTTCCGGCGCGGCGGTGCCAGGTACTCAAACATGGACGTCAGGTGGGTGGAGAGCATGCCCTTGAGGTCGGACGGCATGGGGTCAGACCAGAAGAAGTCGTGGTTGAGGGCATCGTCGCTGTCGATGCGCTGGGCAGGGTCCAGCACCAGCAGCTTGTCGATGAGGTCCAGTGCATACGGGTCGCGCACGTAGGCCTTCAGCCTGTCCTTCACCTTCCGCTTCTGGCCCTTGACCAGCTCCAGCTTATCATATAGCTCATACTTGTCCACGTTTGGCCACACCTGGAAGGCGTGTTGAGAGAGGTGGAGTTTGGTTAGGAGTGTGTGGCTTGTCCCTTGGTCAAGGCCTAAAAGGACTAAAATACCTGCTCCACTCGGAGGCTCCAAGACTGCAACTGGAGGGAGAACTCGACCCCTCCCAGGAGAATCAGTGCCCACCACAGACTGGCATATACCACGTGCCAAGCCCTTTTACCCACATCACCTGGAATATGGACTCCAACCCTGATACATGTTACATTTCCTGTTTCACAAAAGAGAAATGCAGCGCTGGCTCAGATGCTCTGCCAAGGCCACAGAACAGGTGAGAGAACCGAGACTGGCACACAGCCTGTGTGGCTCTCAAGGGCAGGCCCTGTCCCCAAACCAGCCTCCCCTCCAGAAAGGAGCGCTCCTTCCATTCCACTCCCCACTCTCCCTCTGCCAGGGGGACCTGGATCTCTGCATCCCGTGGAGACCAGGACCCCGTACCTCAGGAGTGATGGAGCCGCAGAGCTGACTGATGAGGGCGAGCTGGTGCTGCTCCGTGTTGCCCTGCATGATGGGGCTGCGGGTCCACATCTCTGCCATGATGCACCCAGCACCCCAAAGGTCAATGGGGGGGCCGTAGTCCCGCTCCCCTGGGAAGAAGAGCGCACCAGGAGGGCCCCTTGAGCCCGAGGGCCTCCTGAGGCTCGATGCCCCAGGGCCGGCAGCTCAAGAAGCCCTGGCAGTGGGGGGCGGGGGCCAGGTAGATGCCTGGCCCTCACCCCCCGCGGCCTGCTCGGGAGTCCTCACCGAGCAACAGCTCCGGGGGCCGGTACCAGAGTGTCACCACACGGTTGGTGTAGCGGTTGGGCTGGCTGTTCTTGGCCAGGCTGAAGGCCCGGGCCAGCCCAAAGTCTGCCAGCTTCAGGACTCCATCACGAGTGATAAGCACATTAGCAGCCTTCATGTCCCTGTGCAGGATCTGCAGGAAGGACAAGAGTAGCTTCTTCAGTCACATCCACCCAGGAGTGGGAACCCAGGCCCGCCCCAGCCCGGGTTCTTCTCCCAGGTCTGGCCCCCACCTTGTTCCTATGGATGTAGTAGAGGCCGTTAAGCAGCATCTGCATCACCCTCTTGATCTCAGACAGCGTGAACTTGACCAAAACATTGCTCAACAGCCCAGCAAGGTCATGCTCACAGAAGTCGAACACCAGGTATATACTGCCCTTGCAGCGGTTATAGGGGGAAGCTGAGGCAGGAAGAGCAGAAGGAAAAGTCAAGAAAACCACACCCAACTCACTTTCCCACAACCAGCTTCTTTCTTCCTGCCCCAACCCACGGACACCCTATGCCCTCCAGAGCATCCGTCTGTTCCTTCCTTCACTGGCCAAATATTTTCTGAGTGCCTCCTCTGGGCCAGGTGCTGTGGCAGGCCCTGGGAAGCACCAGCTATGATGAAAGAGGACCAGAGAAAGCAGTCACCATGGGTCCATCTGGGTTAAGAAGACTCAGTTTAGGTGTGTCCAGTTCCAACTCTGCAAACAAAACCTTAGGCTATAAGCGTCATCTTCTCACAAGAGCCAAACAACTTACCTTTGGTTCGACAAATCTCAATCAAGTTGACCACATTCTCGTGTTTTAGAAGCTGAAGGATCTTGATCTCCCGCAAGGCTGTAATGGGGAACTGAGTGGGAGAGGGGGAAGTGGTCAGGAGAGAGCGCAGTACAGAGCCCAGCCCTGGGTTCTATACTCAGAGACAAGCTGTGAGACAAGGCAAGAACACGTGCTCTGAAACCAGCTGCCTCAGAAGCCTTATCTGTAAAACAGGTATAGCAGGGGCACACACCCCTCAAAACGATGGTTTCAGACAACAAACTGAAACAGCAGTACTTTGCTACTAGCCACTAAATGCTCCGCGGTTTCAGCCTTTAGCTTGAGCTCTACGGCTGTTTTGTTGACAACAAACACCATGACTTAAAAACGTCCTTGCTAGAGCAGGAGAATGAAAGGTTATGGGAAACTATACTAGAGCTAAGACGCGGTGGAGAAGGAACCACTCCTTTTAAATATATTAAATAACTATTAGTCACCTTCCAAAAATGATGCATATGTATCTCTTTAACATTAAGCAAAATTCAACACTAAGAAAAAGGTGTTTAAAGGCTTCCTAACTTCGCGTGCAAACAATGCAAACATTAACTCCCCCTCCTGGCCTCAACTATAACTGCCGAAGAATGAAGCATTTCGGTTTTAGGGTGGAGGCCAAATTCCTTGGAAATTTCTAAACTGCTACAAAGAAAATGAATCTCAACCCGAGACTCATAGAAGCAGCAGGGTGGAAAGCCAACCCGGGGTCCTGGGCAGTTAGCCGGCCCGCCCGCACGCGCGATCCGTACTCACCCCCTCCTTCTCATTTTCCATCAGGACCTTCTTCAGAGCCACCTTCTGGCCGGTCTTGCGGTGCTTGGCCTTAAACACCTCCCTGCAGGCGGAAAGGGAGACCCAAGAGAGCTCATCAGGCCGTTTCCGCAGGGCCCGCCCCTCCCCCACCACAGGAGGAGGGGCAGCAGCGAAAGACTCCCGGGCGGGGCTGGGCCCAGTACCCAGAACACGCGGCTACCCTACGCGGCACCCGGCACCCGGTCTCGTTCGGAGCCTCTGCTTTCCTCCCCTCAGTCACTTCTCCTCACTCGGCCGTCTCTTGGAGAGGTCCCGCTCCCCTCACGGGGACTTCTCTGCAGCCCCTCCCCGCCCCCCACCACGGGCCTCAGGCTCCTCCCCACCAGCCGGCTCCGTCAGGCCCGGGCGGGGTGCGGCACGGCCTAGAGACTTGTGGGCAAGCCCAGAGACAGGCGGCTTTTCTACCACCTAGGGCCGGGTCCCCGGCGTCCCGACAGGGTGCAAGCCCAAGACTCCCATCCCCGAGGGGCACAGCCTTACCCAAAGGTGCCTTGGCCGATCTTGGCAAGCTTCTCGTATTTGGTAACTTCATCACAAAAGGGGCACTCAACCGAGTCGTACTGCTTTGCCATGGCCACCTCCAGCGCGCCGCCGCCGCCGCCGCCCCCAGCCGCCGCTGCTGCTGCTGCTCCCGCTCCAGGTCCCGCCGCCGCGCTCCAGGCCCCTCCGCGGCCGCGCCACTTCCGCCTCCACGGCCACTTCCGGCCCCGCGGCGCCGACCCCGCCTCTTCCGCCCGCCGCCCGCCGCCAGGCCCCCTGGGACTTGTAGTTCCCGAGAGGCCAGGGGGAGCCGGAGCTGCAGAGGCGCCTCCGCCGCCGCCGCTGCCCCCGCCTCCGCCGCCGCCACTACTGGCGGCGGCCCCGATCGGGGGCGCGGGGAGCCGGGGCGCCGGGGCTGGGGCTCGGGGCGGCGCGTCCCGCTGCATTGGCCCGGGCCGCCGCTGCTGCCGAAGCTGCTGCCGCTCTGGCGCCCGATCCGGGGCCAGCCGCAGTGCCCTGCTCCTCCTCCTCCGACGGCGCCGCCTCCGCCGGGCTGCGCGGGGCGGCGGGCGGGGGGGCGGCCCCCGAGCCGCAGCCTGGGGGGCTCCCTGGCCGGGCCCGGGCCCGGGGCAGCCGGGCGAGGGGGCGAGACGGGAAGAGCCGACTAGGAGGCGGCCCGAGAGCCCGGGAGGGGGCGCGTTATAAAGGGGGAGGTGCCCGGCCTCGCCCTCCTCTCCTCCTCCGCCCGCCCCCTCCCTCCTCCCTCCCACCCTCCGCGGCCGCACCTGCCGCCGCCGCCACCGCCCGCCCGCCCGCTCGCTGTCCGCCGGCCGCCCTAGGCGCGTCACCGCCCGCGGCCCCTCCTCCGCCTTCGGAGGTGGGGCCCCGCGCTCGGCACCTGGCTGCGGGCGCCCCGCCGCGTGCCTCAGTTTACCCCTACATGCCCGCAGCCGCGGAGAGCCCCTTCCTCCTCGGCTCGGAGTGCCCCCGAGAGGCGAAGGCGGGAGGTGCGGAGGGAGCGTCCTCCTGGCCCTGGGAGGAGAGAACGGCCCCCGCCGCCGCCTCCCCCGGTCCCCGCCACCCGCCGTTGACGTGGCAACCGACGGCCGCCAGGGGGCGCGGCGGCACTGGAGACGGAGAGCAAGCAACGCCCGGGCCTTCTATTGCTGGAGCGCGGCTCTTGGGGGGGCAGGGATGGGACCCTCAGGACTCCCGCCTCAGCCGAGCCGCGCCGGAGCTGGTCGGGCCCCGGGTCAGTAATCGCAAAATACAGTTGCCATTTTCAGCTCTCTTGTGTGCTCAGAGTGCTGGGCGTTCCCGCCGAATCCTGAATCAATAGCCCCATAGTCAGGATCACTAACCCATTTTGCAGAAGAGGACATTGAGGCTCAGAGTGGTGAGGTCGTTTGCCCAAGGTCACACGGCGACAAAGCTGGGACCCGAACCTGGGTGATGAGTGTGAAGGGGACTCTCTTGACTCACACCATTTGCGGTTGAGCCAGGAGGAGAGCAGTCGGGAGACCTGCTGTCCTTATATGAGGGTACGAGCTCACCATTCACCCCCCTTCTCCCTCCGCCCCCATCTTCCTGGTTCCAGTGGCCTCCAGATTCCCCCTCCAGCTCTGCCCAAGGACCAGCCTCCAGCAAAGCCGTCTTTTCTGCCTCTGCCCGGCTGCAATCTGCCCCCTCCTCTCCAGCCCTCTGCTGGTGGATCTTGAGACCTGACCCCGCTGTGTGGCCTCTGTCTGTCCCGGAAGAACCTGAAAGTGACCTCTGAGGCTCTTTCCAGTTTACATCTCGCCCCCCAGACAGTGGCCATGCAAATCTCTACTGTCTCCCCCAAGCCTGCCTGCACTCAGGGCGGTGCTACGCTGATTCTGCACTCCCCCATACCCTCAGTACCCTCTCTTCCTGCAATATGCCCTCGGTGTGGCTCCCAGCTCTCACCCCACACTGCTTAGCCTCAGAACCTCCTAGGAGGAGGCAGGAATGGCTTTAGTGACCTTGTTGTCACAAGAGGTCCTGTTCTGGGAAAGGGCACTATCAGGGAGGGGCCTGAGGGTCAGGCTGAGGAGGAAGGAGCCCTTTGCTGAGGGCAGTGTGGAGCCACAGAGGGGTTTAGGCAGGGAGCAGTGTGCAGTGGGCTTCACAGGTACACTATGTATTAGAAGCAGGAGGTTGTTAGCTAAATTGGAGGTGGGGAAGATAAAGAAGGAGAACAGAACAATCTTGGTAATGACAGCTTATTGAGGGAAAATAAATGGTCCAAGCCCTACACTTAGCACTTTATGGGAATTATCTCAATTGTCACTCAACCATATGAGTACTGTTATCACCTCCATTGTACACATCAGGATACTGAGACTCAGAGATGACATCACTTGGCCTGGGTCAAACAGCTGTCCAGTGACCATACTGGTATTTGAACCAGGTCAGTCTGGCACAAACCCCAACATTTCACCATCTCAGGGGCCCGCCCATCTGGTCCATGGGTGGAGCCACCGGTAGGGACAGTGTTGTGGTGGGCAGGGCCCTGCGGTGGGCTTGCGTGGCCTCCACTATCCGACTACAGCTCAGGCCAGGCCCTGCCATTTCCCACGAGCCCTCCCTAAGTCACATCCTGTGGGCAGAGGCCCTAGCAGAAGTTCCGGTGAAGCTGTCACCTACACCCCACCATCCCCGGTCTGAACCCCAACATCCGCCCAACACTTCCCCTTGGGGCCTCAGGCCCTCAGTCCCCACTGTGGGATGCAGGCAGGCAAGGGAGGCAGGAGAGGCCGGAAGCCCAACAGAAGGCTGCCTGGCTGCCCAGGCTGCCTGGGTCTGGGGCCCCAGATCACCAAGCTGCCAAAACCCAGGTGGAAGTGAGAAGAAATGAGTGATTTCTCACTGACTTGAAATGTTTCCTGGTTCCCATGGATCGGCTAAGCTGGCACAAGGCTGGGCAAGTGGCCAGTCCTCAGTAGATGTCTGCCTGAGAGAGCCACTGGTCCTACTGCCATTTAACAGAGAAGGTGAGGGCGGCGCAGGAAAGGGAGGCGCTGGACAACTGTCTGGCCCCGGCCTGGACCCCCTGTTTTCCTCTGCGCAGGGACAGATGGGAGGCATAGGAGGGAAGGAGAAAATGGTTTCATGGATTGGGCTGCTCCTGGCAGGCTGGTGCATGCGAAGAGACAGTGGGGCAACTGGATAGCAGTGGCACAGGGCAGAGAACAGCCATGTGATACCCACAGCCCTCTAAAATCACCGAAGTTGGCTGGGTGCAGTGGCTCACACCTGTAATCCCAGCACTTTTGGAGGATGAGGCAGGTAAATCACCTAAGGTCAGAAGTTCAAGACCAGCCTGGCCAACATGGCAATGACCCGTCTCTACTAAAATTAGGAAAATTAGCTAGGCGTGGTGGTGCATGCCTGCAATCCCAGCTATTCGGGAAACTGAGGCAGGAGAATCACTCGAACCTGGGAGGCAGTGGTTGCAGTGAGCCAAAATTGCGCCACTGCACTCCAGCCTGGGCAGCAGAGTGAGACTCCTGTCTCAAAAAAAAAAAAAAAAAAAAAAAATCACAGTTCTGCCCACACTAGCCAGGAACTGACTCAGTTCCTGGTCCGGGGTTGGCTTGCGTTGTCTCCCTGACACTCGCCAGCATCCCTGTTAGGGGGTTCCTATTATTAGATCCAAGTTACAAAAGGGAAAACTGAGGCCCAGACTGGTGTTGCCTGCCCCAAGGTACACAGCCAGGGCGTTATGAAGCTGTGATTCAAAGCCAGGTCTCTAATCTCAAAGCCCGGGGTCATTTGCCATCATCCCACACTGTCCCCAGTGCCAGATCAACGGAGGGAGAAGAGAAGCATCTATGGAGCACCCATGATACGGTCCTCACTCAGAAGGGGGCTAATGTGGATGGGTAAGGCCCTGTCCTCTCTCAGAAAGCTTTACGTCTGTTTGGAACACGCAAATAAACACACAAGGGAATTAAGCCAAAATGATACTCTTGGTATAAATATTTCATCTCACTGCCATGAGAGCATGTGAGGGATGTTATATTTATCCTGTTTTACTGATGGGGGAAAAAAAAGAGGCTCAGAGAGGTGACATGACTTACCCAAGGTCATGGAGGTGGGGACTGAACCAGGATTGCGTGGGCCCGATGCCTTTGACTATGAAGTTTAAGGCCTCCAATTCTTGGTAGTACCTGCCCTGTCCATGAGACTGTCTTCTCTCTCCATAGGACCTCCACACTGTCCCTGCCTGAGTCACAGACTGAGGAAGAGGGGCAAGGGTAGGGGACAGAAATGAGAGCAGGGGGCTGGGAATGGTGGCTCACGCCTGCAATCCCAGCACTTTTGGGAGGCTGAGGTGGGCAGATCACCTGAGGTCAGGAGCTGGAGACCAGCCTGGCCAACATGGTAGAACCCCGTCTCTACTAAAAAAATGTAAAGGCCAGGTACAGTGGCTCACGCCTGTAATCCCAGCACTTTGGGAGGCCGAGGTAGGTGGATCCTGAGGTCAGGAGTTCGAGACCAGCCTGGCCAAGATGGTGAAACCCCGTCCCCACTAAAAATACAAAAACATTAGCTGCCCTGGTGGCGGGTGCCTGTAATCCTAGCTACTCGGGAGTTCTGAGGCAGAGAATTCTTTAAACCCGAGAGGCGGAAGTTGCAGTGAGCCGAGATCATGCCACTACACTCCAGCCTGGGTGACAGAGTGAGACTCCGTCTCAAAAAATAAATAAACAAAACTAACTAAATAAATTTTTAAAAATTAGCTGGGTGTGGTGGCATGGGTCTGTAACAGCTACTTGGGAGGCTGAGGCAGGAGAATTGCTTGAACCCAGGAGGCAGAGGTTGCTAAGACTCCCCCACTGAACTCTAGACAAGACTCTGTCTCAATAAAAAAAAAAAAAAAAGAAAGAAAGAAAGAAAGAAAGGGCTGGGTGCTGTGGCTCACACCTGTAATCCTAGCACTTTGGGAGGCTGAGGTGGGTGGATCACCTGAGGTCAGGAGTTCAAGACCAGCCTGGCCAACATGGTGAAACCCCATCTTAAAAAAAAAAAGAAACAAAAAGAAAAAAGAAATGAGTTCAGGGATCCTGGGGGCAACATAGCTCAAGTCAGCCCGGAGGGACGTAAAAGATGTAAAAGACTGAGGCGGGTGGGCAGAGGGCATTCCCGGTGGTGTGGGGCCAGCCCGAGCGAAGGCCTGGAGGCAGGAAAGTGCTGGAGCGCTCAGGGCTGGGGAACTCAGGCCCGCTGCCCTGCCCTCCAGTGCAAGCTGAAGAGAACCCGCAGGACAGCCACCCGCCGGCAGGTCCCCAGCCACACTCCTAACGGCCACTCCAGGCAGCACAAAGGGGGCTCTGAGCTCATCGGAGCCGCCACACTGAGCCCTATTCATTCTCCTAGCGCTGCCAGAAACTGCCTTGGCACCCGGGCCAAGAGCAGGACCGGCCCCAGCACTGATGCGGCGCCTCTGCCGTAGCAACACAGCATCTCTGTGGCGGGGATTCCCAGGTCTCCTGCCTGGTGCCTGCCCGCCAGGATTCCCTGTCCTGTGCCAGTCTCCCCCTTATCTGTGCCCATCTCTCAGCAACCCCAGCCAGGGCTCACGGAGGCCCACGTGTGCTGGCCTGGACCAGCGTTTGCCCCTCTCATCCTCCCAACAACCCCAGTAAGTGGGGGCTGCTGTGGCTCCATTTCACATATGACAAAACTTTGTGTGGGATCACACAGCAAGTCGGGAGCAGGCCTGGCCGGGAAGCAGCACAGCCTTGGCAGCTAACCCAAGTCCCACGGCAACCACCTCCCGGGAGAGAAGCCCGGGACCTACCCTCTGTTTTCTGCTAGGAGCACCAGCCGGGGAGTTAGGACACTAAGTTGTCTGTCCAGTCTCTGCCTCTGCTTTGTTTTTGAGACAGAGTCTCACTCTGTTGCCCAGGCTGGAGTGCAGTGGCAAGATCTCAGCTCCCTGCAACCTCTGCCTCCTGGGTTCAAGCGATTCTCCTCCCTCAGTTTTCTGAGTAGCTAGGAATACAGGTGCATGCCACCACACCCAGCTAATTTTTAAAAATATGTATATTTTTAGTAGAGACCAGGTTTCACTATGTTGTCCAGGCTGCTTTCGAACCCCTGACCTCAGGTGATCCACCCGACTTGGCCTCCCAAAGTGCTGGGTTTACAGGCGTGAGCCACCGTACCCACTCCGGGGCTGTTTCTATTAGTGGAAGATGCAGGAAGTGCCCTATCAGACGGCAGTGGGCTCCTCTCCCAGCCTGGGTTGTCGGCCTGGGGTCCAGGATAAAATGCCAAACCCCTGCAGGTTGGCTGCCTACCTCACACTTCTCCCCATTCTAGAAATCAGGTCACTGAGGCCCCAGCCCCAGCCCCAGCAGCCGCTGACACCCTCTACAGATGTCCAGAATGACCCTCAGACGGGAGGTTGCATTTCCTCATCTCGGCCCTGCCCACCTGAACATGCACACGGGAAGTTTGCAGAGTGGGAGGAACCAGCCGGTGGGTTAAGGGGCCTAGAAGGGAGCATTGTGACCCAGTCTGGGCCAGCAACCAGCTGTGCTACCTGGGGGAATCCATCTGCCTCTCTGTGCCCCAGTTTCACCATCTCTGTCCAGTGGGTGCAGTGGACCACATGGTGACATCTCCCTGTGAGCTTGGAAAGGGTGACCGTGCTTTGGCAGGCACCGATTCTGTGCCAGGCCCTGCACCAACTGCTGAACCCTGTGAAGTGGGCACTGCCAGTACCCCCTGATCACAGGGAGGACATGTGCACTGTAGCCCCAAAATGGCCAGCCAAAAGCGGAACTTAGATTTGGGTGGCCCAGAGTCCACAGGCCCGACCACAGCACCCCCCAATATGCAGCTGCCAGTCCCCCTCCTGGGTATGGAGGCTGAGAAGCAACCGCCCCGCACACAGGCCTGACTCCCCTCACCTTCCCAGCCCGACTGCTAGGCCCTCTGACAGCTGTTGGCAGGTCCCCAGCGGCCCCCAGCCCACTGGGCTCCATTCCCAGAACCTGTGGCTTGCTCCTTAGACCCTCCAGGTCCCATGGGCTTGCGGTCTGCCCCATGTCCTGCTGCTGAGCCTGAGGAGGCGGCCCACAGGGGCCGGGGCTAGAGGAGGCCCCAGCCCCCGCCCCCTGCAGAGAGGGTGGGGAGGGTGGGGCTGTGGGAGTCTCACTGGTTTAAAAATACACAGAGGAAGCTAGTGAGAGGGCGAGAGAAAGGGGAAGGGGAGGTGGGAGAGGCATCTCAACCTGGACGTCCAGAGCCTCCAGCAGCCACTTGCGAGCTGGCCAAGGGCTTCACACGACTTGCCAGGATGACGGAGGGGACCAAGAAGGCCAGCAAGAAGTTCAGTGAGTGTGGGGTGCCGTCGGCGCTCTCCTCCGTCCCTGGCTCTCCTCTGGGCCTCTCTCTGCATCTGTTTCCTCATCACCGTCTCATTTCTGTGGGGCCACACTCACCCACTGCTCTGTTTTCCTGTGTCTGCCTTCCCAGTTTCTTTTTTACTTTTGGATGCCAGGGTCTCTCTCTGTCACCCAGGCTGGAGTGCAGTGGCAGAATCTCGGCTCACTGCAGCCTTGACCTCCCAGGAGCAAGTGATCCTTCCACCTCAGCCTCCCAAGTAGCTAGGACTATAGGCACAATTAATTAATTTTTTTTTTTTTTTTTTGCTGGGAGCAGTGGCTCATGCCCATAATCCTGGCACTTTGGGAGGCCAGGCAGGTGGATCACCTGAAGTCAGGAGTTCAAGACCAGCCTAGTTAACATGGTGAAACCCTGTCCCTACTAAAAATACAAAAAATTAGCCAGGCGTGGTGACACACACCTGTAATCCTAACTACTCAGGAGGCTGAGGCAGAAGAAATTCTTGAACCCTGGAGGTAGAGGTTGCAGTGAGCTGAGATCGCACCACTGCACTCCATCCTGGGCAACAGAGTGAGACTGCATTTCAAAAAGTAAGGAAAAAAATAAAATAATAATAATTATTCTTTTTTTTAGAGACTGGGGGAGTCTCACTTTATTGCCCAGGCTGGTCTTGATCTCTTGGGCTCAAGTGATCCTCTCGTGCTGGCCTTCTTTCTGTTTGTCTTTGTCCACCTCTGTCCCTCTGCAGACGTCTCTGCTTCTGGGCATCCCTGCGGCTCTCTGGCGATCACTCTGGCCCAGCATCTATCTCTCTCTCTGACTGACTTCGTGCTCCATCTCTGAGCTTCTCTTTTTTTTTTTTTTTTTTTTTTTTTTGAGACGGAGTTTCGCCCTTGTTACCCAGGCTGGAGTGCAATGGCGCGATCTCGGCTCACCGCAACCTCCACCTCCTGGGTTCAGGCAATTCTCCTGCCTCAGCCTCCTGAGTAGCTGGGATTACAGGCATGAGCCACCATGCCCAGCTACTTTTTTGTATTTTTAGTAGAGACGGGGTTTCACCATGTTGACCAGGATGGTCTCGATCTCTTGACCTCGTGATCCACCCGCCTCGGCCTCCCAAAGTGCTGGGATTACAGGCGTGAGCCACGGCGCCCGGCCGTTTGAGCTTCTCTTTTCTCTGTCTCTTTGTCTCCCCACAGCGTCTCTCAATCTCTGTAGTCCACTGTGTCTCTAGCTGTCTCTGACCTCACAGCTGGGTGGGGGAGGTCTTCGAACAGTCCATCCCCCTGTCCCCGGGCCTGGGCTCACAGGTGGGGAGTTACTGGGGTGGCAGGGGATGGGGATGTCATGGGAAGCTGTCCCACATTCCCAACAGCAGTGCGCCTAGGACCCAACCCTTGGGTGGGGAAAGAGCCCAGAGTGACTAGGATCAGGCTCAAGGGTGAGGGCCACACTCGCCCACTGCTCTGTTTTCCCGTGTCTGGCCCTCCCAGGTTCAGCAAATTCTGTCCACTGATTCCTTTGATCTGACCCCACCAGGGTGGAAGACAGCTGGTGGCAAGGGCAGAGATTGTGAGCGAATTTCACAGAGGGCAATGCTGAGACCCGGAGACTTGCCTGAGGTCACACGGGCTATTGAGCGGGCCCGATCCCAGTCCCTGGAGTCTGGGCCTCAGTTTCCCTCCTGCCCCTGACTATCTCCTCCAAACGAGTGGTGCCTAGGAGGCAAAACTAGTGGTGCTGAGAAAGAAGGCAGTTAAGGGTCCTCCCTCTGGCCACTGATGCAATTTCCATCCCCACCGCATGCAGCGGAAGGGCAGAGCGGCCTTGATTGCTGACCACGTTTCTCAGGAGGCCAAGGCAACAACCAGGTGGGGCCGGCAGGGCTAAAGAAAGCCCCTGAGCACTGACCCAGCTGTGCTGAGCCCTGGGCCTGAGTCCAGGCTCAGCCGTGGCTTTGCTGTATGACCCTGGGCAAGTCCCTCCCCATCCCTGGGCCTCAGTTTCCTCCCTCCTCAACTGGGGCAACCTACCTGCATCCCAGCGCTGGTGTGAGCAGCTGAGGAGGTGGAGGATGCTGAGGAAGTGGGAAATGCCAGAGTTTTTCCTTTTTGCTCATCTGGAGGCTGTGGGGAAGTCAGTTGGTGGTGGTGAGAAGGGAAGGTCCCACAGCTGGGGGCAGGGGGTAGGGAACTCACATGCACCCCCGCGGAAACCAGGAGATAGTATCACCCCAGCCGTGCCTCTGGAGTCAGGAGCTGGGCTCAACTGACAGGAAGGAGAGAATCACAGACAGTGCGACCTTCAGGCTCACAACAACCCTCTCCTCATGCCACCCCCGCCCCAGGTTCACAGAGGCAGGCTGGAACACCCCCAACCACATAACCGCAAAACACGAATACCTGCTCCACCTACCAGCAGCATGACCTCAGTTCATTACACCGCTCTGAATCTCAATGTTTTCATCTGGAAAATGGGAGATTAAACTGTTTCACTGAGTTATGTTGAGAATTCATGCAGCTCATGTTTGGCAGATGCAGAATCATTTTTAGAAATTTTTAAATTATCGTTGTTATTAGTGGCTCACCCCTGTAATCCCAACACTTTGGGAGGCTGAGGTGCGTGGATCCCTTGAGGTCAGGAGTTTGAGACCAGCCTGGCCAAAGTGGTGAAACCCATATCTCTACTAAAAATCAGCCGAGCATGGTGGCGCACGCCTGTAATCCCAGCTACTCTGGAGGCTGAGGCTGGAGAATCTCTTGAACCTGGGGGCAAAGGTTGCAGTGAGCTAAAATCATGATATTGCACTCCAGCCTGGGTGACAGAGTGAGACTCTATCTCAAAAAAAAAAAAAAAACAAATAAATAAGCATTTTTATTTATTTATTTTTTTGAGACGGAGTTTCACTCTTGTTACCCAGGCTGGAGTACAATGGCGCGATCTTGGCTCACCGCAACCTCCATCTCCTGGGTTTAAGCAATTCTCCTGCCTCAACCTCCTGAGTAGCTGGGACTACAGGCATGTGCCACCATGCCCAGCTAATTTTTGTATTTTTAGTAGAGACGGGCTTTCACCGTGTTGACCAGGATGGTCTCGATCTCTTGACCTCATGATCCACCCGCCTTGGCCTCCCAAAGTGCTGGGATTACAGGCTTGAGCCACCGCGCCCGGCCTGCATTTTTTTTTTTAAGATGGGGTTTCACCATGTTGGTCAGGCTGGTTTTGAACTCTCGACCTCAGGTGATCCGCCTGCCTTGACCTCCAAAGTGCTTGGATTACAGGCGTGAGCCACTACGCCCGGCCATAAATAAGCATTACTATTAGAGACAGGCTCTTGCCCTGTTGCCCAGGTTAGAGTGCAGTGGTGCCATCATAGTGCACCGCAACCTTGAACTTGGGGGCTTAAGCTATCCTCCTGCCTCACCTCCCAGGTAGCTGGGATTATAGGCACACACTAGCATGCCCAGCTAATATTTTATTTTATTTTTGATATGGAGTCTCACTCTTGTCACCCAGGCTGGAGTGCAATGGCACAATCTCAGCTCACTGTAACCTCCACCTCCAAGGTTCAAGGAATTCTCCTGCCTCAGCCTCCAAAGTAGCTTGGATTACAGGCACACACTATCACTCCCAGCTAATTTCCGTATTTTTAGTAGAGACAGCATTTCACCATGTTGACCAGGCTGGTTTCAAACTCCTGACCTCAGATGATCCACCTGCCTTGGCCTCCCAAAATGCTGGGATTACAGGTGTGAGCCATCATGCCAGGCCTTAATTATTTATTATTATTATATAATATATATTATATGTTATATAATATATATAAAAACCCAAGACAGTTTCACCATGTTGGCCAGGATGGTCTCTATCTCTTGACCTCATGATCCACCCGCCTCAGCCTCCCAAAGTGCTGGGATTACAAATGTGAGCCACTGCGCCTGGCCTGTTATTACTATTATTATTATTTTTCTAAGATATCACACTAGTCCATATTATTAGTATTATTATTATTTAAGGTGGAGTCTGTTCTTGTTGCTCAGGCTGGAGTGTAGTGGTGTGATCTCAGCTCACTGCAACCTCTGCCTCCTGAGTTCAAGGATCCTCCTGCCTCAGTCTCCTGTGTAGCTGGAATTACAGGCACCTGCCACCACGCCCAGCTAATTTTTTGTATTTTTAGTAGAGATGGGATTTCACCATGTTGACCAGGCTGGTCTCGAATTCTTGACCTCAGATGATCCACCTGCCTCGGTCTCCCAAAATACTGAGATTACAGGTGTGAGCCACGCTCCTGGCCTAGGCTTTTCTTTAATCCTCACATTGCCCTAGGGGGTAGGTGCTAGAATCTCTATTTTACTAATGTAGAGAATGAGGCTTAGCTTAGAGGGATCACATGACCTGCCTAAGGTCACACAGCTAGGATGTGAAAGAGCAGGAATTCAAGTCCAGGGCTATGTGACTCCAAAGCTCCCATCTTATACCACTTCTGGGGTTGTGCTGACTATTAGAAGGGGTGTCCAGGAAGCCCCTAGGCCTCTTCAGCCCCTCACTGAGTGAAACTGCAGGAGTTTTTCATTATTATCATTGATGTTAACATTGCCATTAACTCCTTTTTCCTCCCTTCCCCTCTGCTAGAGTTCTTCAAGTTCAAGGGCTTTGGGAGTCTCTCCAACCTCCCTCGGTCCTTCACTCTGAGACGGTCCTCAGCTCCCATCAGTAGGCAGTCCCATTTGGAGCCTGACACCTTTGAAGCCACGCAGGATGACATGGTGACGGTGCCCAAGAGTCCCCCAGCCTATGCCCGCTCCAGTGACATGTACAGCCACATGGGCACCATGCCTCGCCCCAGCAACAAGAAAGCACAGAACTCACAGGCTGTCCAGCAGGCCCAGGAAGTAGGCCCCGAGCTGGTTCCCCGAGGTCTGCCCAACCCCCCAGGCTTGGAGGCCGCCAAGGAGGTGGTGGTGGAGGCCAATGGTGCCCTGGAGGACGCCCCAGCAATGGAACCCAACCCTTCAGCAGTGGAGGCAGATCCCATTGGAAAGCCTGAGGTCCCCACAGCAGACATAGAGGAGAGACCTCCCAGGGACACGCACTCAGACAGGTAGGTGACCAGGGGCTGGTGGCAGCAGGACCTGCAGGGATGTTTTCTTTTTAACCCAGTACACACCTGGGTTAAAAAGAAGGCTGGGTGCAGTGACTCACACCTGTAATCCCAGTACTTTGGGACACTACTGCAGGCCAATCATGAGGTCAAGAGATCGAGACCATCCTGGCCAACATGGTGAAACCCTGTCTCTACTAAAAATTACAAAAATTAGTTGGGCATGGTGGTGTGTGCATGTAGTCCCAGCTACTTGGGAGGCTGAGGCAGAATCACGTGAACCCGGGAGGTGGCCGTTGCAGTGAGCCAAGATCAGGCCATTGCGCTCCAGCCTGGTGACAGAGTGAAATTCTGTCTCAAACAAACAAAAAAACAAAAACAAAAAAACCCCTAGTAAGCACAGTGACCAGGTGCTTACTGTAGAACAGGCACTGTGCTAAACCCTTCACTTTAATCAGCAAAAGAAAGCTGGCAAGGAGAAACTCTTATTGTTTCCATAGGATAGATGAGGAAGCTGAAATTCAGAGGGTGACGTCATCCACCTCAGTCAGGATGCACATTTACTAATGACAAAGCCACCATGTGAACCGAGACCCCCTGCCTTCAAAACCCCTGTCAGCATCTAGCATGGGCCCTTAGCTGCTGGCTGGGTCCAAAACCCAGTCACCAGACCCCTACCCTGGACCCACTCACCCAAATCACAACCATTATTTCTTCTGGACAATACCTCCATCTAGTTTAGAAGACCATTCATCAGCTTAAGCTGGTTATAGGGTGAGTTGAGTTCAGGCAAAAATACAAATTGTGATAATAGGACAATACCTCCCATTTAGTAAGCATTTTTACTGGTTTTTATCAAAACAAATACCTCACTGAAAGCTCCGTAAAAGAGTCAATCATTAAGGCCAGGTGCAGTGGCTCACGCCTGTAACCCCAGAACTTTGGGAGGCTGAGGCAGGCAAATCACTTGAGGTCAGGAGTTTGAGACTAGCCTGGCCAACATGGTAAAACCCCGTCTCTACTAAAAATACAAAAACTAGCAGGGCGTGGTGGTGCATGCCTGTAATCCTAGTTACTCGGGAGGCTGACACGAGAATTTCTTGAACCTGGGAGGTAGAGGTTGCAGTTAGCCAACCTCCACCTTCAGTTCACATCACTGAACTTCAGCTGGGCGACAGAGGTGGACTCTGTATCAAAAAGAAACCAAACAAACAAAAAACAAAGATTTAATTGTTAGCCCCATTTACAGATAGGGAAACTGAGACTCAGCCAAGGGTACACAGAGCTGGGATTTGAGCAGGAATCTGCCTGCCTTCAGAGGCTGCACACTTATGCAGCACACATTGGACTCACTACCTTCTCAACCCTAAGGCCATGTCTTTCACACCCTGGGAGACCCCTCAATCCCAGCCAAAAGAGTCCCCGGGTTTTGGATCCTCAGAGCCTTTGTCTCAACCACACCAGTCACATGTGCCTGTTGAAATAAAGAAAAAAACCCAGCTGAGCGAAAGTAATTGTAGGGCTAGTTCTGGGACCTTTCTTTTTTTTTTTTTTTCTGGTAACTTTCTTGAGCAGCTTTTTCCTTAGACATCAAGCACAGCCTCTGTCTCTGAGCTGTGATTGCCTAGACCCCAGATCAGTGAGGAGCAGGACTTTGTAAAGGGGCGGGGTGAATACAGTCCAGATTCTGCTTCTTACTGGCTGCATGACTGGACACATCTGTTCCTCTCCGGGAGCCTCAGTTTCTCATCTGATAAATGGGCATAACAATAGCACCTACCTGGTCGGGTTGTGGTTAGGATTCAAGAATAACATACCTGTAAAATCTCAACACAGTGGCTGGCACGCTGCACTCAGTAAATGGGAATGCTGTATTTACGATTAATAAAACTCATATTTTCCACCATCCCTGGCTGCCTTCTGCCATCCCCTCCTACACTCGGCCTCATTCGGGCGTAGAGGACCAAGGATTGTATGTAGGGGAGACGGCCTGATGGGTCCTGGGGCGTTCTAAGGCACCTCAAGGTGGGAGACTGCACCGGGAGCCTGGCCCTTCCTACCCAGGGAAGCCGAGTTTCGCGGGAGCGGGGCGGGGCGGGGTGGGGCGAGGCGAGGCGGAGTTGAGGGCGTGTATGGGGGCGTGGCCTACCCAGGCTTCGCGGTGAGCTGCTGGAGAGCGAGCTTTGGAACCCGGCGGGCGAGGCGTAGGGGTGTGCTCGGGGGCGCGGCCTTCCCGACACTGACTGACAGGGAGGAGGCGGAGCGAGACCGGAGGCGGAGGGGCGTGTCCGAGGCGAGAGTGTCTTTCCCTGCTGGTAGAATAGGCGGTGGAGCTGGGCCAGGCAACGGGCGTAGGGGCGTGTCTGGGGGGAACGTGGTCTACAGGTCAGTCTCCGCCCCCGGAGTCCGGCTCTGAACTCCGCAGCTCCGTGGCCTGAGAAAGGCGAGAGCTGGGCTTAGGAGGTCCCGGGGCTGCTGCGACAGCGGGGGAAGCATGACTGCCGTGGGCCGACGGTGCCCCGCGCTGGGGTCCCGAGGGTGAGTGATCGAGCTGGGCCTGGGGAGGGCCAACGGGGAGCAGGAGAGGTCGTAGGAGGAAATCTGCACCCCTGGGGCAACTGACAATTTCGGGGGTGAGGTTAGCATCAGGGACTTTTCCAAGCCAACTTTCTTTGGGTGTAACTTTGTCCCCGCAGGCCAGGCATCTGCTCATCTACTCTACCCAACAGCCCCAGAAGAGAAGTACTATCACCCCCATTTTATAAATACGGAAAGAAAGGTTTGCCTGCTGAGTGACACAGCCAGTGAGTGTCAGAACCAGGGTTTAATCCCAGCTTCCTGGCCCCATGCTCTTAACACCTGGGCAACACATTCCTCTCCAGAAGGGCTAGGGCTCCTGAGAAAGGTGGTCTTTTCTTGAGAAACCTTGAGAATGCCAAGTCCAGGACCCAGCTCAAGCTTTCTTCCCCTGTGGACGGACGCCTGCTGGGCCTAGCAGTGTCTCTGGCACCACACTTGGCCAGGAGCTGACCAAGGAAATGGAGAGACTCTTCCCCTCCAGCATCTGGAGTGTCCTGAAGAGGATGGTATTAGCAGACCAGACTGAGCCCCCTTCTGCTGCCCCAGGACCCAGTGCTCCATCTGCCCCCCAGAGGCTGTAGAACATTTCTTCCAGGAGTCCCTGAACCTCAGCCCTGTACCCTGAAGTCACGGGAGCAGCCTTGCCTGTGAGATCTCAGACTAGCCCTGCCCCAGTCTGGGCCTCAGTCTCCCCAGTAGCCCAGATGGGCCTGAGATGGTCTCTGAGGATCCATCCAGCTTAGGGAGGAAAACATTTGGGAATTGCCAGTAAGCAAGGTCGGGGGCCCTGTTCCTGAGTGTCTAGAGGGGGCTGTCCCACTGGCTATACCGGGAGCAGCCTAAGCTGGGGAGACAATGTCCCTCCCCCACCCCTGGGGAGGCAGGGTGCACCTGGAGCAGGAGGAAGGAAGGGGAAAAGGTGAGGCTGCAGAGGTTTCCTGGTGTCCTGTTCCCTGCTGAGATCATGGGGATGAAGAGGAAGGAGGGAGGAGGGGCCTTTAGCTCCCAAAAGAAAGGAAAGCACCAGCTTAGCCTGCCCCCTGCCTCCCAGGGAGCCTCAGTCCTCTGCAGGTCCCAGAGAGGCACCCTCCCGCCTCAGTCCATCGTACAGAGGAGGAAGCAGGGGCCTGGAGAGGGACAGGAAGCCCCAGCACTCCCTACCTCATGCCCACCCACACTGGAATTGTCAGGCAAGGGTCCCACCAGGCATGATCACCAGCTGAGCTCCTGACAGGTGTTGTCTAGCTCGTGGGACCTGTGAAGTGGGCGCCTCTACTGAACTCTATTTTGCCAGTGAGGAGACTGAGGCTCAGAAAGGGGGAGGGACTCTCCTGAGGTCACAGAGATATTGGGTGTCAGGCTTGACTATTTGATCCGAGGCCTGACTAGCTCCTAAGTCCAACTTTCTCTCTCTCTCTCTCTCTCTCTCTTTTTTTTTTTTTTTTTTTTTTTTGACAGAGTCTCACTCTGTCTTGAGACTGGAGTGCAGTGGCGTGATCTCGGCTCACTGCAACCTCCACCTCCCAGGTTCAAGCGATTCTCCTGCCTCAGCCTCCCAAGTAGCTGGGACTACAGGCACACAACCCCACACCAGGCTAATTTTTTTTATTTTGGTACAGACGGAGTTTCACCATGTTGGCCAGAATGGTCTTGATCTCCTGACCTAGTGATCTGCCCGCCTTGGCTTCCCAAAGTGCTGGGATTCCAGGGCATGAGCCACCACCGCACCTGGCCCAAGCCCAAGCTCTTGACCACTAGGTCACATTTCCGCTCCTGCAAGTAAAAATCTCAAAGCTTTTTCTACCATTATTTCATATGACTTCCCATGACCCCTCGGAAAGGAGCCCATTTTACAGATGAAGACACTGAGATTTTTGTGAGGCTAATAACTTGCTTGAGATGATGCAGTTAGTTGAATTGGAATGATACTCATTTTCATACTGACTGAGGTACAGCTATGCCTGACACTGTTCTAGGTTCTGGGAGATGGTGGTGAGCATGGCAGACAAAACCCTGCCTTCATGGAGTCCCCATTCCAGGACAGGGGAGATGGATGATAGACAAGATAGATTAGTTCTGCAGTCAACTAGAAGAGAAAGAGTACGAGAAATTTTTTTTTTTTTTTTGAGATGAAGTCTCACTCTTGTTCCCCAGGCTGGAGTGCAATGGCATGATCTTGGCTCACTGTAACCTCCACCTCCTGGGTTCAAGCTATTCTCCTGCCTCAGCCTCCTGAGGAGCTGGGATTACAGGCACCTGCCACCATGCCCTGATAATTTTTGCATTTTTAGTAGAGACGGGGTGTCTCCATGTTGGCCAGGCTGTTCTGAAATTCCTGACCTCAGGTGATCCGCCCACCTTGGCCTACCAATGTGCTGGGTTTACAGGCATGAGCCACCATGCTCGGCTGTTACCAAGAA